TAGGTGGCTTTAAGGGCTGGCAAAGGCCACACTCCAAGCATAAAAGCTTTTGATATATTACTCCAGTTAAATTAAAGATTCCTTAACTCATTTCACTTCATTAAAGCCACTAAAATAACAGTGCAACTTCTCAACGGCAGGGATTAATTTTTGAAGCAGCACAGGGGCATTTCGTTTCAATGCCTGATGTAACTTGATTGAATCAGACAAATGAAATAAGTGACCTCTATCTAGCAAGGTTATAGTTGTAGCTGGACTTAAGAAGATTTGTGCTGAAGTACACAAGAATGGAAATTGCAATGTGAGAAGCATGGTAAAATGTCATGAAAGAGGGGATGTGACTTGGCTGTGGAGTAGAAGGGGTTAAAGGGTGCTGTGGGGTTGTTTCAGGTCAGGGGTCCACATCTATGATTTCTCAGTAAACAGATGTTTTCTGCTGTTGTTAATGTACTGTTTAATTTTAAACAAATGGTTTGAATTAGCTTATTGGTAATGCTCTAGGGGAAATGAATGTCTAGAATCATTTTTCAGGCACTGGACAAAACAAATGCTGCCCTACATTTTTGGAAAGAATGAGAAGTTTCAAGTGCCCTCAATATTTAATATCTAAAATAAGGTATCATAGGAATGACATGGAATAGTTACTTGATGAAAACACAGTGCATCTAAAGATTAAATTGCACATAAAAAAATATCCACCCCTTTAGAAAATGTAATTTTGTATCATACAGTTTGCTCTTCTACTGGTGACCTTAAGTCTTTGTTTTAGTAATACACCCTTTGCTCTAAAATTCTAAATGTAATTAAGAGTTTGGAAGATCAAGGCTTTCCTTTGGCTATATCAGGCAGAATTAAAGCTACCTGTGGCACCCAGCAATACCAGGGCATGTGCAGGGCTGCAGAAACATGCTCTTGTATAGGGTTTAAGTTTCAGACGTTAAAGCAACTGCACTTGGACCAACCAGAAAGAGGAACGTGGAAGTGAAATTAATTCTGGAGTGATGAAATTACTTTAGACAACTTAATGAAGAAAAAAAAAAAAGCTCAGATCCCACTGAGCCATTAAATGATTGATTTCCACATGGAAGCACCTATTTCCTCTGACAAGCCTTTGACAAAACTGTTCCTTTATTTCCATGTGGAATGGTTGTTGACCAAAGGATTAAAAAGACTGAGGGAAGAAACGGACAGAATGGGTTATGAGCCCAACAGGCAGGAGGAAATATGTTAAAAACAGCAGAGTGAAGAACTTGCGCATTCATTAAACATAAAGGTAGCATTTGCAGCTGTTTGGATTGCTTAATACTGAGGCAGAGTTGATGGTAAACGATTTGCAGAAGGAGCACAAATACTTTGAAAGCTTCCAATATATAATTTCACATTTCCTTCTGACAGTTGTTTTAAGTCCTGATATGTCAAGAAAGTCAATAGCAAAATACCAAATCTAATTTCCCTGAGATCACCAAGCAACTTTGCTGATTTGGAGCACTGAGGTTCTGTTAGAACTTGAAATCATAATGGTCAGTGTCAGATTGCAGGTGGCATCCCAAAGGGCTGAATTTAAGCTGTTGACTGAGCCAAGCTAGCAAAGTGACCATGGCTGAACATGGAGGAGTCCTGCAAACCTTGGCCCCCCAATAACTGTGGTAAGTCAACTTTTGTTATGTTCAAAGCTGAATTTAAAATCTGGTGCTGTAAATGCCGTGTCACTTTAGTTATTTTTGGAACTCAGTCTGCTCTGATACAGTCTTTTCTAGAAAATTGAAAGAATAATATCCTCACAGCCACGGTCATACTCGGGTTCCTTCCTCCGGTGCCCTTTGCTTCCCATCAAGGCCCTCTTGTAATGGGCAAGAGCAGTTGTCTGTTAGTGCAGAAGCCAAGGAGGGGAGAACAGCAGAGCCAAGGCTGTGGAGCTGGTAGCTGGTAAACCCTTACTGGTTTAAGCCAACAGCAATTTTTTGCCTGGGAGCAGACAGAAATGGAAAGACTTAACTCAGAATCAGTGTTACCAGCACACACACTGGTTATGGCTGTAATGGGAATGTAGAAACAACCTCCAAAAACTGGAATATGTCTGCTTTAGGGCTAATTAAAATCAAGTCCCACGTCGGGAAGCTATCGTTCCACACTCCACAGGAACTAAAACTCTAGCTGGGTTTTGCCACACAGTACCAAATTGTTTCCAGTTCTGAAGTACTTGTGCCAAGAAAGGGAACAGCATAGTAGTACCCATTGTACAGGTCCACTGCTTTCATTCAGTTCCTGTGAATTCAATGGCAGAATTAATTGCAAAATAAAATGCATGTAATTGGATTAATTAACATTACATTTCAAGGTCCTGAAATACAGAATTAGCCACGGGGTAAATGCACAATGCAGGTTTTTCCTGCAAAGAGACCAAGTGCTATTTTTGGATCTGTAGCTCATCAAGCTGTGCCTTGTTTAAAAAGCTGCTAGGGCAAGAAATGGGGCTTTGAAGGGTGGGGATGAATACCATAATTAGGGCTGCAGGACAATAAAAGGATTATTCTTACATATAAAACCATTTGAGTGAAGTTGCTTGAAAGATATACCTAAAATTGCTTGCATGGGTCTAATATTTTCTTTACAAGGACTTGCAAATCTCATTGAATATTTATAGACCTGGAACATAAGAGTAGATGAAATTTAAAACATAAATTCAATAGCAATTTATTGCAGTGGAATTCCCTAGCAGTTGTTGCCCCAACCTCTTAGCCTTAATAGACAGGCTTCATGTTGCAGAACACGAGCCCAGTGATAAATGATATCAAAGCTGAATGCCCTTGATTGATGAAGGCTGCCTCAGTTGATGATTGTGAAACAGTCCTGAGGGCTGAGCTCACCACTATTTTGGTTGTTTTCTATTTTTTTTCTTAATGCATATATTGCAGAAGGGTTGTTTGTGCTTCTAGTATGGTTATCACATGCAAATGAGCATGCTGTTTCCCAGATGCAGATTTTGTATTTATAGATTAAGTACAGCCTGAAAAATCATATGTTAATTACATTCTGAGGGTGTAGCAGAATTTCTCACTTGAACATGTTTTGTTTTGCTGGAAATAGCACAAATTCCAGATCAATGTATTGAGTTGCTTGAAGCTTGGTTATAAATGCATCATGCTTTAGAAAAAGCTTTCTAATCATTACTACGACTAATAATTTACCATTAGCTCAATGCTTAGACTTCTACTGCACATTATGTATTTGTTTTGGGGTTTTTTTTAATGATCTGTAGTTCTCAGAAGACAGCCAATACTTGGTTGTCTTCTGGGTGGAAGGGGGCTAAGGATCAAAGCCAATATCGGAGATATAGTAGCGGATATCTTCTGAGAGGAGATGTTTTGAGAGGAACAGGGCTCCCTGCAGTCAGCTCAGCTGGCTCTAGATGGGGTTTTGATTTTTATATTGCCTATAACAGTTCCGTACCACATACATCATGCTGAAAATCCATATTGTTTGGGTTCCTCCTTCAGAATATATTGGCCAACTGAGACACTGCCGTCCCACAAGAGGCCTCATCACTCACTGGTTAATGGAGATGTCCAAAGAAACATGGCTCCTCCTGAGACAGTGGGGAAAACCCAACAGGCTGATTTAGCTGCAGGTTGAGCAATTGTTCAGTGGTAGATGTTGGCTGGTGGTTTTTAAACTGAGAACTAGCACAGAGGTACTTACATCTCAGAATGCCAAAGGATATGCCAGAAATATTTAGGAAAATTGTGCCCAAAAGGGAATGTAGCAATGCTTGGATTTCAAACCAGGCCAGATTTGCCCTTGAGGACTGTGTTATTGAAGGCAATGCTGAGCAGAAGCCTGTTATAATAAAAGGTGGGGGAGATTTTGGAGAAGTCAATGTATGACATTCCAATTGCTTTCTTGTTTACTGTCCCAACAGTTAAGAACATCAGAAATAAAGAGTAAAGCTTAAAATACACAGCAGACTTCATTATTACAAAGAAAAGTCTGACAAAAGAGCCATTACATCAATAGTAACAATGTCACTGGTTCTCATTGGGGGCAGGATCAAGCCTATACAAAGCAAACAATTTCCTAATAACAAGTGGTTAAAAATATGACCTTTTTTGTTTGTTTTCTATAAATATAAGTAAGTTCTTTGACCAGTTATGGATTCAATGATGTGTCCAGAAGCACCGGGCTGGCAGGAATGATTCGTGTGGACTTCAAACACAGGTAAGTCTCACTTTAAAATAGCCTGCTACAGTATATTGCAATATATCCTGAAAGCCACAGATGAGAACAAACAGTACCAAATACATAGTAAATTGAAAATACACACACGCCCCACCCCCCATTCCCTTTTCACAGCTCTCATAAATCTTTTAGTAAATAAGTAAATCACAGAGGTACCAAAGAAACTGGTAAACTAAGAGGTAGCTCATGTAACAAAGCATCTCTCTGCGAGCACGTCTTGCTGCTGTAGGCAGTGCTGTGCAGTTGTGGAATCTGAAGCCACGTACAGCTGCAGGTGCTGTGCCAGCCTTCCTGTTCTGGTCCCAAGAGAAAAGGCAGGCATAGGATAGTTTGGTCACGTCAGCTAACCTGAGAGCAGTTCAGGTACTCAGAGGGCAGTACAAAACATGCCCTATACTCCTCACTCTCCTTAAGCAGCAATGCTCTGTTGCTTTTTGGCAATTATGCAGTCATTATATGACTGCAGATCATTACGCAGTCAATAGCTATGTTGATCTTTCAGTCTTCAGAAAGCTTTCATCCTATTAATTTTATACTCTGCTTATATAACTAATCTTGGCTTTCTGAACATATATGTGCATGTCACATACAAGTGAATACATTCAGATTGGTATAATTGGAAAGAAAACTGATGCTGCGGTTTGGTTAGGATGCAGTATGATCAGAACATTCCTGTGGGCTCTGTGTGGTGGTGTGCTCCACCGTGTACCAGAAATCTTCCCTTTGAGGCCTTACAACAATAAAAAAACTGTGCTCAAAGAGTATGTTTCTCCTGTGTGATCTTACAAAATGATACTGGTGTGTGATGAACTGGTACATTAGAGACAGTGTGCTGAATTAGATAAACTTGAGTTTGAATAGCAGACAACTCCTGTGACATTGGTATGTTTGAACAGACTATTAATGCATGTCTTACTATCTCTTAAAGAAAGAAACCAACGGAAACCCAAATCTCATTGCACATCCTCCAGTACAGTCCTTTATATAGGCTGGTGGATATCAACTATGGTCTTGCAATTCACTGGAGTCTTAGGACAAGGTTCTCGTAGGCTTTTCTTTCACTTTCCCATGAATGATGTTTCTTCATGTAATCTTTGGCTCTTGTTACAATTTCTTTTTCCATAATGGGGTCGTTCATCAAACTCTTGGACAGCACAACAAACTCCTAAAAAAGATAAAGAAAGTCCTAATGATACTGCAATAGCTTGTACCCATGTCAGCTATGATTTCAGTAAAGCTTTTCAACTGTGAGCCAATGCATGAAGGTGTTCAAATTAATTTTTCAAGGTCAAGTATCATTGTTTATTTATAAACAATGATCAATAAATAATTGTGTATATCATTTTACACAGCCCATCAACTAAGACATATAAAAGCAAAGGCAATCCCAAGAGCATTAAGGCAAATAAGAGCAACAAATTAATGACTCAAAAATTGTTTCCCTGCCCAAGTGTTAGAAAACCAGGCTCGTTAGAAATTAAATAATTCATTTGGTCTTCTGCACAGAGGACAACTGGCAACGGGCGTTTGATCTCGGCTAAACTTACATCTCATTGCTACTGTGACAACTTTAGTTAGTTTTATGGTAAGACTAAAAAACTCACAACATAAAAACTTAGTCTCAGGATAGAGATAAGTACAGACAGGCAGCAGCAGGCTCTGCCGGAGCAGATGCATCGGGGCACTTCCAGACACAGCAGTGTTAGCAAAACAAGCTCTGCAATAAAATATATTAATTTCCTTTAACTTTACTGGCCAAAATACTAGACCTCACAGATTACAGCTATTCCTTTGCCTGCTCCTCTTCCACTCTAATTAATTTAGTTCTAGGGAAGAGAAACTGTGAACTTCAAACATGTGAAAGGAGATCTGATGTTTGAACTAATCTGTTCTGAGCAGCTGGTCTAATTTTCTATCAAGAGACAACTTCCAATACTTTAGCTTGATTATAAATGTGCTCAGATCTTTGCAAAATAGTGTCTTGGTTCGGCTCAGAAAAGCAGACAGCTATTGTGTAGTGGAAAATTAAGATAATGCATTACTACACAATCGGTAGTGCAGATCAGTGCATAGGGATGCAGGGGGCAAAAAAGGATGGGAGATACTATTTACACAGTCTATCAGCTATGAAAGGCGGTATCACAAACAAGACCAGAGTTCATATCAACACTAAGTTAACTACTAAGCTATACTTGAAAACCTAAGTACACAGTGCATATAAATACATACACAGATAGAAAATCTTTTGTTACCACAGAATCAATTTTGCTGTTGCGATGCAAGTGCTGGCTATGCATAATACATAGCTGTAAAGTGACCCCTGGGAAACACGGGTATGTGAAATCACATTAAACATGTTATAATCACTGCTGTGACTCTCACTGACAAGACAAACTATCAATATATGTGTCACTGCCATGAAATTTGAATAGTCGGAAAGGTTTGTAACTAGGTGATAGAGAGATCTATTCTATGATTCTATGATCGTCATACATGTGTATTAACAACAACCCCTTTTTTTACAGTACCTCTTGCAGTTTTTGCTCTGTCCACACAGCACTGACAAATCAGCCTCTGGACTAGCCAGGAGGGCAGCATGCTTCGTCTCTAGCCCGCTTTCCATCCACAACTACCTTGGTGCTCAGGTACGTGCTTATTTAACCAGTGTATTCAGTGCCTTCCTTGGAACTTGCATGGCCCAAAGAGGGTGTTTTCTGGCTTCCTGTGATTCTTACCCTAAAAACACTTAAGCGAGGCTGGTCCAGTGAGCACCCTGAGGCTGCTTCTCTCAGGCACTGCAGATACAGCCACTGACTCCAGCTTTAGAGCCACTTGCTTTTCCTCTTTTCCTTCCTCCCTATCTGCCAAGAATACAGAGCAGGCAAGGTGGGAAAGTCTTACATGACTTACGCTGGCTTCATCCAATTGCCTGTATAATCACAGTAATAAATACTGTTCACACTGAACTACATTCCAACTTTAATTTTATGCTCCTGTGGAGGCTTTTATTTAAAGTAATGTTTAAAAATAATTTATGTAAATTACCTAAGAACAGAAGCAGCAATGTAACATTTCTTGACAGGTAGTCCTATTAGCATTCTTTTAAAATGTGGATATAGAGGACAAAAACTTGGAAACATGTAAATGATAGAAGAAATTAGATCCTTATTCACAGTTACAGTACTTAGTGCTGGGGATAAGTTCAGGAAAATGCCAAACTGAGTCCAAAGCATAGAAGTCGAGAAACTGCGGAAGGGGAAAAAACCAAATGGAAAAATACCAGAAGACAGAGAATAAGGACTTCTTAGCTTTATCCCTACTTCTTCTACTAATCAAATGTGACCACCTACAAGTCACTTGCAATCTGACTGGAAGCCAACAGGAAGATTAGCTATGACTTATCTGGGTTTTGCCTCTTACCCTTTGAGCAGCTGGCTTAGTTTGTTTTTAGTTTTGGATGCTCAGCTTTAGAAAGCAGTAACTTCATTTTTCAGGTGTCTCCCTTAACTACAACTGACTTGCACTTCAATTGCAGTTTTGTGGTAAGTCTGAAGCGTGGGCTCCCACTTGCACAATGCAGACATTCAGAACTCAGAGCTTTTTCATAAAATTGAGCATTTAATTTTTCTTTTCTAGAAGCTTATTCTATACAAGCTCTTTCCACTGTGGTAGCATGTCTCTGTATCAGCTGTTCTGCTGTATTTGTGCAAGTGATACTGCACAAACATTGGTGCATTCTCATATTTTGTTGTAGGTGTAAAGTAACTTTCACTTCTGGTGAAAGAGGGGAAAAATTCACCCATGACTTTCCAATTATCAGACATAAGGGTATGCACTTCAGCAGCCAAAATGGAGGTGATGCACATGCTAACTTACTACTGGAGGACGTCCATATTTCTAGTAAGCCTTTCATTCACATACAGAAATCAGTATAATCACTATACACGTGTGACAGAAAAACACTAAAAGCTGAACCTCAGTAGTTAGCCACAACCCGTAACAAAGAGAGGAGAAGATCATCTTATGCGCATCCAGAACAGACACCACACGTGTCCTTTCTGGGGGTAGTATTTCACTCAAACACAAGCGTTTTGTAACAGCAGCATCCATAATATATTTTTCTCCTGGTAAACTGACCTACCATCTTTAAAGAAAATGTCAGCTTCTTTATATAACACCTAAAAGAGATTCTGTATAATATTTTGCAGAGACGCAGATATACAGGTACCTGGGAATAAAGCTAGAAAATGAGTGCACTGAGTAAAAAGAATGAATATTCCTTCAACTACCATGAGAACTACATTGGTACTGCAGCTCACACATAATTAAAATAAGATGCATGGTTAATATATTATTTATGTAATGAAAGTAACTCTGCAATTAAACCATTTCATATCAGCTTCAGCAGATAAAGGAACATGATTCTTAAACAACAGAGAATCACCCGAGGGAAGGCAAATGCCAGATGTAACTTCAGAATAGCAACAGATCTACCCAGTGGCAGGCACAGCTCAGAAGTTAGCTGGCCCATCTGTGTACTTCACAGGGCAATGGGCCAGTATTTCTAGGGGAGTATAAGCAGTGATTGCTGGTGCTGCCAGAAACTTCACATTAGTCTATTCAGTGTGAAGGTTGAAAGCTTTGAAAACTTGGGCAATATTCTGGCTTGAAGCCCTAGTGGCAATGGCACTGACCCATGTTTGGCAGAGGAGAGTAATGTACCTTCAATGTATTGCTGCCTGTGCTCAGGTGAGCTGTTTCACCTCTCAAAAGCTGTCTCTGCTAACAGCAGTCTTTCCAGGACCCACTCTCTCTCAAACTTAGTTTGTGCTTGGCCCTTCTTACTGGTTTTGAAGCTTATTTACCTCCTTCTGTTTATTTAGCTCCTTCTGTGAGCTTTTACAGATGCTGAACATGTAATTTTGAAACTCAGAATGCTGAATAACTCTGCGTCTTCCCTTTTAGCATGGTTCTGCATTATTTATTGCCCTATTCTTATCTCTTACTTATTTTTTTTATTTCAGGTCCCATTTACTCAGTGTCAAATATTCCATAAACTTGCAAATTCAAGTAATGGCAGGATCAAACCATGATTTAAAAGTAATGAGGTAGTATCAAGGACAAAACGTTTCATAGCTTTCACTTCTATGATGTTAACTGTTTCTATCCAAGTATTGTCTTCAGTGACTGGCAAGGCTTTCTCTATTCCCAGTCAAGTAGCCTCAGCATAAATGCAAATGCATAATGATAACTACAGTCACGCACAGAATTTCCTACTTCCCTGTAAGCAGCAAAAGCTCACTTTCAGCAAGAATAAAAGAAAACCAACAGCATTCACAATTTAAAACAATTCTCTTTGTATAATGGTAATTTTATATCCCTCTTAGCTTTCAAAAGATTGTCCACAGACCATACACAATTGCTCGTATCTAAGCTTACTCTATTGTAAAACTTTCCCTCCCCAGATCAGTAATGACTTGAAAATAAACAATGCTTTCTGCTCTTGAGCTATGATACAGTCTGTATCATCACAACCAGATAGGCTCCACTAAACTTAGCAATGAAACAACATTTTCTAATCCTTGGTGGTCCAGATTCTTCGAGGTAGAGACAGACTTTCCCAAGCACCTGAACCTCCCTGTATGATGAAAGGCATTTTCCCTAACTAACCTGATGCAATTGATGTTACAGCAGAAAATGGTTTACCAGATACTTATGATGTCAAAGTAATCAGAGTAACAAAACCCAGAAAACTTGTTACCAGAAGATAGGTTTCTGAACCCTGTTGTCAACTGAATCAAGTGCCATGGGCAGACTGCTCCTTCTTACAACAATAACAACATGAAACCTACTCTGAAACTGTAAGTGTTCTAACTTAATCACATTTCTTTGATCTAATGTAACTCTCAATCCCTGATAGACTATGTACAGTGATTTAAAAATTGTATTTGATATGGTCTGGGGAGATAAGGAGCAAGAGTAAAGGGTTACTTTAAAACCATAAGTGAGCTCATTGCTGCAAAAAGAAAGTTTTCAACAATTCTGCAGCAGAATTAGAGTATTACCCCTGTACACAAATAGTTTCCTGCACACTTTGATAGTTTATACCATATTTGACACCAATGACAATATAAAAGGGCTTTTATTAAATGAGATACAACTGCTGTTTTACAGAGAAAGCAGGAATATTACTTTCCTTTCTAAGATAGATTACCTGCACAAACATTCATGATTCCAGCACAAATATTACCTAGGAGTATGAATATGGTAATGCAAGTCACCATCTTAATGTAAAAGAGATTCTGTGGACTTCTGAGATAGAATAACAGCAAAAAGGGGATCAAAAAGCAGCAGAAGAGGGGAATTTCTGATCTTTAGTATAGCCTGTTGCAGAGAAGGGATCTCAGACAGAAGGGGTTTATATAAACTAAGCTTACAGTATTCTAGACATATTTACAGCCTGTGACTCTAGTTCTGATATAAAAGGAAGTCCTTAGCCATTTGTATAGAGCCACTGATGTCACTGGGATTACTTCTGTATTTAAAATTGCACTTTCCTCCAAGTAAGGAAATACATAGCATATTTTTAATTGATCCTGGACTCCAAAGAAACACTTGGAATGTAGGATGCTTGGAGACTGCAAAAGAGGCTTCTTACAAGGATATATGATGAAGCTAATTGGGTCTGGTATGAATAATGTATTTGAATTACAAGCCAAAAGTAACCAGCATATTGAGGGACCCAACAGAATGTATCAGAATTCGTATCAAGGAAGCCATCAGACTGTGTGTTCAACATGATCATATATCCTTGACGTTTTGAGGAAGCATATGGAAGTTAATGGGCTTTTACAGGGAATACATATACAAAGAATTTTATAAATAGCTTTCTATCTCAGCCTCCACTAGCCTGGAAGTACCCCATTTCCAAAGAATATTGCAAGAAGAGGAAAAAATTATGCAACAAAATGAATTTCAGAAGTTAACAAAGAATATTTTTTTTTTTTTTTTGTAGAAGCCATTGGAAACATTGAATATCCCAGAAAAACAAAAACAGAATGAAAAGAAACAAACAAAAAAAGAGCTGCAAGAATTTTTCTATTAAAAAGCCCCCAAAATTAACTGAGAGAATTCACCTTCCTGAAATACAACTTAACAGGAGCCTTTAATCACATACACACTCCATAAAGTAAATAAATACGATACATTTTCTACTTTACAAATATTCTAGTAAGGGTTTTTTTAATCTTGAGTTGGATAAAAACATATGTAACAGCAAAGCCATAGTGCAGGAAAATATACTGAAATGAAAATTTCCAGCCTTTAAATATGGGTAGTGTTCCCTCTCTCCCCACTCTTACTTATCTTCACAGAAACTCCAGTCTAGCCCTTTACTTAATTTTAGTCATTAATTATTTTTTGACCAAGGAATATCTTGGACCTAATAACGCTTTATATTAACACTTACTGCTAGAACTTGTAGATAATGTATTATCTAAAACTTCAGGCTCATATTTCTCTTTTGGTTAATAACTGCTTGTCAGATATGAGTTTGTATTTCAGTTAGTACTTAAATGGATCTGTGACACAGGTATAGCATCTCTTCCAGGGTTTGCTTATGGAACCTTCAAATCTGAAGTACCCCACTCAGATGGCAGCTGTACAGCAGCACAGACAAGGCAAACATTCAGCAAGGCTGACACCTAGTCAAAGTTTAGTGAACTGCAAGGTGAATGCAAAGAAAGGCAGTCTAACACCCAGGAGTTTAGGAGAATCTGAGGAAAACTCCTTAGAGAAAAAGCACAGTTTCCAAACACAAGCATGGAAAATGAACCTAAGCTTTGAAAGGTCTAAGGATTTGTTGTTTTCTTACCTGAGGATTTGAAAATAGCAGTCCTGTTTCCTTATGTTTTATTATTGCTGCATTCCCAGGAATGTTCCTTGCCAGCACTGGAATATTTAAATCCATTGCCTACAGGAATACAGAAAGTGGAAACAACAGTTTATTAGGATTCAGGGATTTTGAGATGTTAATGATGACAACTTTAAAATTAAAGACAGAAAGAACAAACCAAACTTCTTTCTTTCTCATCTCTCCATTTTTTTAGTTGAAAACTACCATGTCTAAGGTGATCTATATGGAACTTACTTCTCTGAAATATTTTGTTTATACTTTTGTTAGTCCTGTAACTTTGAAAATATTATCAATCCAGAAAGTCAGTGAATAGTTGCTTCATCCTTTATTCTGTTCCACCTGAAAGTATGGGGTTTGTTTCCCATTGGAAGCTCCTGACACATTACAGGCTTGAAGAGGATAAAATTAAAGTTCAGTTGAAAGGTTGTCACTGTAACTCCTACCGTTATTATGCATAGTTGAGAAGATTAGTTCATAGCACAAAAAGCCACTTCTCCCCAGCAAAGTATCTGTTCTTTTGTTCCATTAAACCATACTTTTTTTCACAGATTTTCTGTAACATGCAGAACTGGACAGAGGTGGGCAGCTCAGCGACAGTGAAGGTGACCGTGGAAATCACTTGGCTCTTTCTCCTCAGTTCTGATTCCTAGGGGTCATACAGGACTGTGGAAGGAGTTTTTCTTTTGACAGCATCTGTGACTATAGCCTGTCTTGGACTTTATGCATTCAGTGACTGCAGGGAAGTATGCAGTGATGCAGCTTCTGACTGAACTATACCAAGGAGAGGAGAGAAAGGTTATGCTTTCAGAACACATTACACTTTCAAAACATATTATCTACAAAGCTATTGCTATGGGACTCCTCACAGACCAAGGAATACATCTGAAGAAGTAGGATTTGATTCCACATAAATTATGGGGTGGTTGCTTGATGTGTTAATTCATTATTTATATGCATATGGATGTGTACATTTATGCACATGCATGAAAAACAAAAAGGAAAGGAATTGTGGGGTCTCAACATGGTAGCGTTTCAAGTTGCCTGCAGAATCAGGAGCAGAGAGGCAGCACAGCTAGTAAGCTACTTCCAAGAGCCCTAATGCCTAGTAAGTTTAAAATATACAGCTTACATATTGAAATAACTGGTGTGCAATCCCTGGCCATTCAGCACTGTTACTCATGCATATCCTGATCTGAAACTTTAATTACTATTGATGAATTTGGAAGTCTTGAGATGCACTGACTGTAAAACCTCAAAAACTCATATTGTACAATTATCCCAGTGTCAAATGAGAAATAAATTCACTCCCACACACCTTCAATCTGTTTCGTACCAATTCCCTGTCACTTCAGAGTGAATGCATTTTTAATTACTGTCATTACGCTCCTGGATGGCTAGCAATTTTGCTTCAGTCTACATAGCAAGATAACAAAACTCCAAGGAGAAAAGCATAGTGGTTTATAGTTCGGACAAAACTGAAGACAAAAATATCCTGGCTGATAACATATAGAACCAATTACGTTTAGAACAGTGAGGGACTGCTGTTACTTAGACACATGTCTTAATAGCTTAAAATATCCAAGAGAACTACTGTTTAAATCACCACTGCAGATGAATCTACTCTGGACATTGAAAGTCTATAGTCCTTCTGGAACAAACGTCTGCTTTGCGCTAGTTAGCTCTAAAAATAACACCACCACTTGATGAAATAAACTTTTCTAGTCTTATAAAAACTACAGACCAGATTTCTAAATTTATCTTAAGTATCTAAAGTTGTTGAGATTCGGGGTTTTTTAAACTAAAATAACCCCTCTTTTTGTGAGAGGAAGTACAATTGTCATGTGCTCTGACTTTACTGTTAAACAAATCTCTTTTCCAAAGCTTGATTTACAAAAAGAATATGACAGTATGTACTTACCAGTAAAGTTCATAGAACTTTGAAGTTCACTCCGGAAATGACAGATACCGGTGCCCCACTCAGCCTGACAGGTTTTCAGTCTGCAGGCCAAGGACATTGCTTTTGGCTCTAATTACCCAACTGCAGCCCTCACATGAGGTTCTCTCAGAGCACTGACATCTCCAAAATGTCTGATTCAGCTCTTTTTCAGACCTTTCTGTTGACAGGCTTAAACACCCTTGTCTTCAGTCTGCTGACTTTTGGCCTCATTCATACACGTTCAATGAACTGGGCGTGAAGATACTTTTTTGAACATCTGAACTGAAAATCAAGAGCTTGATAGTGACAGTGTTCACTGTCACCTGCCTAAGGCCCTCTCCTCACCTCTCCAGATCTCTTCTTTTACAAAGCTGTAAGAGTGTTTCAGGTCTGACTACCTTCCAAACAAGCAATTGTCCATTCAAGGGGAAGAGCACCGCAAAGAAAGAGGAAAGAAGGAAAGGAAGAAAACACACAAACCACAGCACAACTACCCCAGGACTGATGTCTGAAAGTGCCACCATCCCCATGAACAGTTACCTGCAAGACAGAGGGGAGTTTGGATTCAGCCTGTCAGATGTGGTGGATAGTGGTCACTGTGCCACTGGGCTGCACATCAACAGTGAACATCAAATATGTGTGTGAGTGGCCTGAGACAGTTCTGTGTTGGACTGTACCTAACAGTGTGGTTGCATAGGCTGGTACAGTATTGCTGTAGTAAAGTTTAGACTGGACTGTAGCACACACTTAAGAAAGCTGTCTTCAAGATATGTTCATTCACTTCTATTTCTGAATGCTAAATAGTTGATGATTCATTGAAGTTGATCACTAAGTTTATATTTAATGTTCTGTAATTTCTGAACTCTAAAGGGAAAGACATTTGTTCTGTCTCATACAGTTGGAGGGCGATAACTGCTACATAAGGAAGCGTTCAGGTCCCAAAACACATAGGTACCAATGAATTATAGCTACTGAAAGACAGAACAGATGGCCAAATACATGAGATGAGGGGCTGCCTTTATACCAGCTAGCTTTAAACAAATGGATTGGGCTGTAAATAATTACTGCATGAAGTGGCTTAGAATTTAATTCAGATAGTCTATTTTTAAGCAGTAAAAAGAATAATTTACATTGTTGAAAATATGTATAATTTACTGACCTAGGTTCCACAAATAATAGCATAAAATAACATTTTAGTCCATTGGCCATCTGTTTTGTTACATTATTCTGACTGCAAATGTGTTTTAATGCTATTTCAGAAGGATGCAGGATGTAAATTTCAGCTTTGAAAGCATATTTATCCAATAAGCATTTCTAACCAGCAGTATAAAGCTTATAAAGTAAATACAGGTTTTATTTACTATTTTGTCTGGATTGTCCCTCATTCCCTTCCTCCTAGCCTACACATCTTTCTGTTGGCCCCTCTTCAGTTTTACTGCTCTATAAAATCCCTTCATTTCTATTTCTTTTTATTTTTATAGTGTGTTACAGCTTATATTCCAAACTACTAGGCCTATACTTCACACGTTGTCTAAGACTGGATTTTGCCCTACAGCAGAACGGAATCTGACCATCTTCCTTTTCTATGATTATTTTTTTAATTGTTTCATTTTTCTTTGTAAAAGCATAACCACCTAATGATATTTACAACAGTTGGAATAGTCTTGAGAGCACAGAAAAAGTACTCTGATGAAATGGTGCTGGAATCTAAGCCTTGTTCTTACCAACTATGTAGAGAACTTATGAACTTTTCCAGTGGTAGTGCCATTTTCAGCATCACATGCCCAGGAACACGCAGAACTCCTGAGCTTTGTGAGGAAGAGATGTATTTTAAATACTTGCTATAATGCTTGTTTTCTCTTCTTCAAATGCCAAACAGAAAATAGATGAGTTATGGCAAAATCTCCGACATATCAGTACTAGATGACAAAGTAATTAGTTATGGCTTCTAGTGCTTTCATACCTTAAGGCAGATTGAAATAGATATGATTATGTATTTATCTCTTTAATCTATTATATATTTATCTCATCATACTAGAATACTGTTTACAGATTCATGACCTTGTTAAATTTTGAACTTTCAAGAGAATGAAAGTTGGATTTCCAAATTGAAGCAAGATGTTACTTCCAGCCTAGGACCAGAAAATTTTTATACACTGTTTTCTGCCTTATTAATTTAACAAGGTCTTAACAGATGGTCCTTTCTACTGCTGGCCATCTCAAGCAGGGACTTGACTTTATTAGACTGACACTTCCTCTGGGAGAGGGATTTTTACAGTAGAATATTTTATAAGCATGTCATCAAATCCCACTGTACAAGTGTCTAGTAAACAGACATACATGCAATACCAAAACCCTTATAACTTTAGGAGAATTCTAACAGGTCTGAGGTACTAAAAAAGGCAAGCTTCTGTTAGTCTCTCAGGTAGTAACTGAAGACCTGATTTGCTTGTAGAATATCCTGACCCAGCTGGGACTGGAGCTGTTGTCTCACACCACCTATGCCATGTCTGCTGAATTCCCCTTCCTATAATGCAAGATTTCAGTTTGCATCTGCAATTGGTAATGCATTTGCTTGTAATCCATGTGCACTTGAACTAGCATGCTCAGGCTTCTGAAAGCTCTTTTCATCTCCATTACACAACTTCCATGATAAACTGCAAGTTATGAATTAATTCTTACAATGCTCACTTAGGTCTTATTTATGAGGATTTTCAGACACATGGAAGAAAAGCATGCTGGAAATGCAACATGTGATTACTTATTAGAAATAGGAATAAGAGAGTCATTAATACAAATCATGTAATAGTTACTATGATCTTCTGAGATCATCACAAACCAACATTGAGCAGTCCTGGAATGTAAAAGGTGTCTGGCCAAAGAACTTCCACTTTAAGTACATTTATTTTTTTCCCAGGAAGCATTTGATACTAAGGAGCACCTACTTTGACAGGTATGAAATAAACCTGTTACTAATTTTCCATACTGATGGCAAAAAAATTGAGCATGTCAGTCATTCATTAATCATTTCAGAATTAAATAACCAAACATAGCTCTTAGATTGCTTTTTGAAAGGATGTAAAAAGAAATGAAAGTCTGTTCTAGCAACATTATAAGGAAGTGTATGTGGAATCAAGAATAATGACAACCCCAGTAGATCAGAATGATTCTTCTAGCTCAGGCCTGTCTTGTTAATTTAAAAGGATTGATAAAATTACCTTGTCATTTAAAAAATAAATAGATAAAGCAAAAAAACCTGTCACTTCAAGAGAAGAAAACCTTAATTACTAACAAACACTTGCAGAAAGAAATGTTTTAGTTTTGTCTTCAATAGCTTTGAGACATGGACATAAAATGTTGACACACATTTCCAGTGATAAAAGGTGATTTCAGATTCACTGTAACCTCACAGAGAAACCTTACCGCCAAGATGCAATTACCTCCAGAATTGCAGCAGACATCCCCTCTGAAATGGAGCTGTTCACCACAGCAAAGCACCTTTTCATAGCAGCATGAAGATCATCTTGGGGCATCTCCTGTAATAAATGTACTCCAGGTGCCCTAGAAATAAAATGCACACAAATAGGACTCCTGCTAAGAACCTGCTCTAACAACTGTTACTAAAACTTAGGGCAATGATGGAAGGTGGTCAGAGCAATTCAGGCATGGTTCTGGTGTTAACATTCGCTTGGCACTTCACTGTGTTCTGGTTAGCTTTCTATTGATAAATGTGGTTATAAACTCAGTACAGTATACACTACTATCAGCCACTTCATTGCCCGTTCTTGAGTTTTAGGGTTGATCACTTACACTGTACTCTGTTAACCACAGTAAGTACATAAATGAAGCAGCAGAGTTCAATGAATAGGGGTGTGATTTCCCCTTAAAGAATTTAGGTAATACAGGGAGGATGCATGCAGAGATTTATTAAAAACACACAGTTTATATACTTAAGAAATGAAGCACAGTCAGAATGGTCAACTGCAGGAGATGCTGACTTTTCAGATGCTGGTTTGGGGGGATGAATGTGATTCTGAAAGATCTCTTCTGCTTCCCCTTTTATTAGAAGCTTCTGTTCTGAATGATTATGTTTCTACTGTCCTCATCTTCCTCTGATTAATAAAGACCAATCGAATCAAGGGTGAAGGGTTGAAAAACAGGGTAACTAGGGATTCAGTCTCAGATTAAGCGAATGAGATCTTTAAGACTTGTGATCATGTTTGAAAAGCCAGCATCTCCTCCACTTGATGAGCCTGCTCCTGCCTCATTAACCTCAACATGAGATCACTAAGCCAGATGGAAACACAAGTGCATTTGACATTAAAACCAGCTCCCTGTCAAGCAGACTTTGTTAAACATTGCTTTTCTGATCGTGTTTTAACATCCAGCTTCTGTAGAGATAAATAACTGTATCAACTGGAGTACAAATATATGATTACAGGAGTCACGTTTCCCATGAATAACCTGATAGAAAACAAAAACCAGTATATTTTGCTCCAATGGAATTGAAAAACACATATTCTAGGCAGATTTTATTATCATATAGTATCAGAGATTACATGGTTGTTCTATTCAACTCTCGGTTCTGCAGACACACACAAATCTAATTTCTCTAACATTTATATCCTTCAATCAGGAAGCATATAAACTAGGGACAGGAAAAAACTGTACAGGGTTATCTTGTCCAGCTACTCATTCACTCACCAACAGCAAGCATGCAAAATCTTGCAAAAGCCAGGATGAAAGAAAGAATGAAAAGACTCAAAAGAATAATAAATATAAACCACATGTGATTTAACACAAAGCATGAAGAGATCTACTGGTTATTCTAAAATTTAAAATGTGTGGAATACCTAGTCTGAGAACATTACATGCCAAGTAATCAGAACACATTTGTTAGCCATAGAGAGTTGTGAATGTATGTTCATTTGTATTTATGAAAGAGCATTTAAGCACATGATTAAAAAGCTCGTCAGCCAACTGTGTTCATCTGGAGCAGACAAAGGGCTTAGCATTAATGTCTTTCTTACCTTTTAACTTTTTCCTTAACTTCACTGGTAAAAAGGGGATCAACCTAGGAAAGAATACACACACAGGTAAATGGCACTACTTTAGCACTATAGGATTTGTTTGGAATAATACCCAGAAAAGAAAAATAAAATTTAGCAATTTTTTACTAAAATAGTTAAAGTCGTGAATGCGCTTTAAAATCCTCCCCCAGATCTGTAACCTGGTGGTGACAATTTGACTCTTCAGACAAGCATTCTCATGAGTGACCAACACTCAGAATAGCCAGCTAGGAGGGGTGAGTGCACAGCACAGCAGAGCATGAACTGGCTACTCCACTCTAAACCTTTAAGTGACTCCTCTAATGCAGCATAGCTTTGGGCTGCTGTCGGAAGAGGAGGTTCCCTTTCTTCTTCCCTGACATCCCTCTGGCTGCAGGTTCTAATTAGAGCTAGATTTATTTAGCATGAATGACTGTTTTCAGATGACTCTGCTAAGGCTAACATGATTCAAATGACCGATTTGACAACTTACTGTCTAAGTGAGGAACAATGCACTGACGTGCCAAGCAAGTGTCTGTTGCTTTATGTATGGAGTAAGCAATGTGAAGAAAACCAGGAATTTTTGAGGCTTTAGTTAACACAGGAAACAATCCGCATGTAAACTGAGCCAGTCAGATAGATGTTATGCACTGACAGAGACATTTGTTTGAAAACTAACAAACACAAAACTCTAAAATACAGTCTAACATGAAGGAATGCCAGAGTTATTAAAATGTTGTCTAAGCTGAGCAATTAACTCCAGCAGGTTTATTTGCAAAGCTTAACTTCGGCTGCTATTATCACTTAACGTGATTAAAAGAAATAAACAGAAGTTGGAAATCCTTACCTAGACCTGAAGAATAGAGCTAGGTTTTTTTTTAAGGCTAACTATATCAGATTAATTTATGATAGCTTGCACAGCACGCAGCAGTTGTAAGTGCTGGGAACAACATGGCTTGGTTTCTTTACTGCATGCTTCTGTTCTGGGTTCTTCATCACATTATGAGATAAAGAACACTAACAAAGATAAAGCATTTTAGAAAACTTATGGAAAAAGAATTTGTTTTATGATCATGTTCTTTGAACACAAGATCAATTATTTCATGAAAACAAGGCTACATAAATGAAACTATTGAAGTGAATCACTCTTGCACTACGGAATGCAAGAAATAAAAGGCTTACATGACTACTTAAAGTATTTTTGTTAACAGCAGGAGAGAAAATCAAGTGCTCTTTCCTGCACTTGAAGCACTGCCTGATACTGACGACAGGGTATGATACAGATCTATCCACTAAACCAGTATGTCATGTCACAAGTTCCTTGGATATTTCATATTGAACTTCACAATTGATACTTCTGCACAAATACCTTTTCAGCATTTTCCCCAAAGTATTATTGTGATGCTGAGTTTCTCTCACGAGGAACTATATCTGTTTCCATTAAAATCAATAGAGTACTTGCAGGTGATTTCATGAGCAGTGCTGTATGGTCTTTTGCTCTTCTACCTTTAAAAGGATGAGGAAAACTACAGCCTGTGACTCCCAAATTTGCCAGATATTAATTTCTATCCCATCCACTTCAGTGGAAGCCAAGAAATTGCCATCTGCCTCATACACAGAATAGTCCTTTAAGCTGTATTCTTCTATTGATATATATGCCAAGAAACCTGGCCTGAATATGAGAATTCAGGTAAAGTATTACTTTCAGGATGGGTGTAGCAATGACTTAAGAGAAGTGATCCCCCTGAGCTACATTTAGGAACTTGAGGGGGCACAGTTATCTAACCACAAGCTCAATATAACAGAAATTAGATACAACATAAGCTGTTCAGTAAGTTGAAAATGCACTTAAAAGATGTGAATGCATCCAAAGCCAACAGACTATGGCAGGATGCCTAGGAACTTAGCACAGTCTCAGAAAAAGGTACTGGAAAAAGAAGAATGTTACTTCCACCCAAAATGTCTCCATGATCCAGTTCTTCTCCGGGTAGAGTGCGTGTTGGCACATTTTATTTTGTTACCTACCCATGTAACAGGCAGATACGGTCATCAGTTACCTATCATCAACTTTGGTTAAAATACCATCCATCCAGAGGAAGAGCTTTAAAGAGCTGCAAATTTCATCAGTTTAGCAGAGATCAGAGGAAAGCAGCTTGCCTTGTATGAATATCAGAACAGATGAGGTACATTGACACATGGAAAGGGGAGTGGGCACATGGCAAGAAACCATACCTAGCAGGACCAGATACACTGTTAGAGAAGTTCTGCTCTGCTGACAGGCAAAGAAATGTCTGAGACATGTTCGATAGTGCAGAAAGTCACAAATCAAACTGCACAAAGATGAAGGTGCCTGTTAAGCACAGAGCCTACCATGATCAAAATCTAGGAAATCTTCTATAAACACACTATATTAACTTGCTGCCATAGCAGAATTAACTCAGACAGAAGCAATGGTCCACAAACATCTTCATTAGAATGCTGGGATGCCTTTAGACTTTGAAGGGAAAAATAGGTATTAGTACATTGAAAGTTCTGTCAGAATATCATGCAGAGTACTAAAGAGTGAAAAGCTGTATCTGCAACCATATTCGATACGAATAGGAAGAATTTGCTCAATTGCTCTGGTTTTGTGAGGATTTGACAGCATTACTGTGGGAGGAATTGCTTTATTCACAGCAGCAGGTGACACCACATTACAATTCTTATCTGACCGATTATTGAATAGGCTCAGCAAGACCAAGCTTCACTGACAACTGAAAACACAACTGTAGTCTGTGATGCAACACCATCTGCCTGCAGCGATTGCCACCAGAAATGCAAGATTATTGCAAACATACTAAACTCGACCATTCTATATCATTTTTTCCATACACTAAATGCTTAAGGAAATTCAATGTCTTCTGGCTTTTTTCTTTCCCCTCAATTTTATTTATTTCATCTGAAACAATTTGGCAACTAGGATCTAAATAAATAAAACTTCAGGTTTTATAAAAACATATGTTATAACTTCTTTATAAATATATATATATACGGCTTTTTATATATATATAACGTCTTTAAGATACTGGAATAGTTCACCATTTCTAACAAAACTTTCATTTTCAGGAAGTTTTTTTTGAAGAACAAGCAAACAAAAGTTAGATGAGTTCTCATCTTACCTTTTAAAACATCTGTGAGTAGGACACTTAGGCAGGATATACCTGGCAGAATTTCATAGTCCTCACAGGCTAAAGAATTTGAGACTGTATCTTTGTCTCCTAGCTGATTTTCCTGGTTATTGTGCTCTAGGATATTCTGAAGCAGGTTATTATTAAACTTGCTATAGTTGCTTAGATAAGTTGTGTGAACAGCTGGTTCATTTTAGAACTAGCTCACAAAACATACAGTAGGTAACAGCTATCCATTACAAAGAGATGGGCTGCATGACCTGACAGGCCCCACCATCTGCGGAGGCAATTATTCAACAAAAACTGTCTCAACAGGCATGAAAAGAAGTTGGACAGAGGAAAAATAGCTGTCAATGGAAGACAGTATCATTACAAACAGCAATAATCTGTACTGTGCACAAGAATGGTTAAGAATTACAAAGCGAGTACAAAGTGGCCTTCCAGAGGTTGCATGCTGAAGGCAAGTTTTGTGGCCTTAACTTTTTTTAGTTTCATAAGATTCTATTCTTGGAATATTCTGAAAATTAGCCACTGTTTTGAATTTCATTATAGAAACAAACAAAAAGAAAACTGGAAGAGCAGATAAATAGCCCTGAGGAGAAGGACTTGGGGGTGGTGATTGATGAGAAACTCGACATGAGCAGGCAGTGTGCGCTTGCAGCCCATAACCCAACCGTATCCTGGGCTGTATCAAAAGCAGCGTGACCAGCAGGTCAAAGGAGGTGATCCTGCCCCTCTGCTCTGCTCTCGTGAGACCTCGCTTGGGAGTACTGTGTCCAGTTCTGGTGTCCTCAACATAAAAAGGATATGGAGCTGCTGGAGCAAGTCTAGAGGAGGGCCACGAGGATGACAAGAGGACTGGAGCACCTTCTGTATGAAGACAGGCTGAGAAAGTTGGGGCTGTTCAGCCTGGAAAAGAGAAGGCTGCGTGGAGACCTTATAGCAGGCTTCCAATGTCCGAAGGGGGCCTACAAGGATGCTGGGGAGGGACTCTTCATTAGGGACTGTAGTGGTAGGACAAGGGGTAATGGCTTCAAACTTAAACAGGGGAACTTGAGGTTATATATAAGGAAGAAGTTCTTCACAGTGAGGGTAGTGAGGCACTGGAATGGGTTGCCCAAGGAAGTTGTGAATGCTCCAACCCTGGAGGTGTTGAAGGCCAGGTTGGACAGAGTCTTGGGCGACATAGTTTAGTGTGTGGTGTCCCTGCTCATGGCAGGGGGGTTGGAACTAGATGATCTTAAGGTCCTTTCCAACCCTAACTGTTCTATGATTCTATGATAAATGCTAAAAATCTTACATTATACATGTGCCAATCCTGCAACATTACTTAGATTGCACTGTTTGTGAACTGTGTATAGCAAACACAGTGAAAGGTTACGATCTTATGGAAGCAAAGCAGAAAACAGTGCCTGTGTTCTTTATATTCTTAATTAACATAATCTCAATGCGTGGTTTTTTCATATCCACAATAAACATGACTTGCTTCACAGATAATGGCACTGATATTTTTTAAGATTCTGTAGTTTGAGAAGCAACATGAATAAGAAGAGTTCAGCTAAATACCAATAGAGCTCAGATTTATTTTTGTCCTTTAGCAATATTTTAGTACTATGGCAGAAATATGCTTTAAACTGTTCTGAGGAGGTTCAGTCCTTGATCCCGCCTATGCACTGCCACAGGGTTATTTCTGGTAGCTTACTGTAAAGATGTTAGCTTATGAAGAAGTGAAGCAAATGTAAAAAGATGACTAAAATGTTTAAAATCCTTACTGGAGGCAGCAAGTGCATCTTTTGATTTAAAGCACAGCTTCATTACACCTGCTCTAGATTTGCCTTCCACAGCAGTTCACTTCCACATCATCTTGTGTATTAGCACGGAAAAAAAATGCAGATAAAATAAAAATGCAAAAACAACTTTTAAAAAGAAAATCCTATGTCCCAAAATTTACAAAGAACAAAACGGAATGAGAAAATAGAAAAATAGTTCTTATTTGCCAATTCAGATTCTATTTCTTTTCATATAAAACAGACTGCCTGCAAGTTTACAGGCTCATGTAAAGATGAATCAGAGATGCGACTTACAGAGAGACATGAACACATTACCCAGATTCAACAGTGACACTTTTAGTACCCTTTTAGCATCAGCAAGAGTTTGTTTGGTATGGCACTGCTGCCTACTCATACCTTTTCCAGTGGTTAAATTAAGGCTACAGGCTGCCTTCTTAAGACTTCTGCTATGGCTATACATGTAGTACATGTGTATTTCTTTTAAGAAGTCCTGCCATTAGTTTCCTTAAGTTTAAAGTATGCTCTGCTGGCATAGGCAACATACTAGAAGCAGAAACAGCAGGACAGCCTCCCTACAGCTCCACCTGATCCCTATGCAAGGCTGTGGGAAGCTGTGGGAATGAACTTGATTTTGCACAGAATTAGGAGAAGCACTTTGGTGGTTCTGAGGCATCCTTCCCCCTCACCCTCACCAATTTACAGAAGATTATTTCATCATAATAACTGTGATGATAGTTACGATTTTAAACCCTTTCAGGAGCTGGTGCTTCATGAAAAGCAAACCATTGCCAAGAAATTCATGACAGCATTTTGAGACAGCAACCCAACTGTATGTCTTATCTAAAGGGAGTTAGCAATCACGGAAGAACTGCCACTTAACTGACTGACCATGAAAAGAGAGAAGTATAATTTGTAACTTCCAGATTTGTTAAACAGCATTTTTATGACTTACTGGGAAAAAATGAAATCTCACATTAATAGTGGCCAGCACTTCTACTAAAGTACATATAATTCATTTGAAGGAATGCTGCCAACTCTAAGCTTGATTTGAGATGTGAACATGTAAGAACAACTCAGTTTCTGATTTTACTTAACATAGTCAGCACCACCTTCCCTCTCAGGTATCTGTATCCCAGGCCTTAGTGCACTCAGATTCTAATTGTGAAACAGACTTCACCAGTTTTATTTGTCAGCCCAAGCTCTGTCCTTGCTCTCTGGTGTCAGACAGAAACCTAAGATCATTTTGCACCTGCTGACAACTGTTAACTGTGTACAAATTGAGACTACCAGAAATGGCATCAAAATCTAAATGGAACGGAACAAAGACACAATCCTCCATGCGAACAAAAGATGTAAGAACAGGGATAATGAGCATCTGATGGCACCTTCACAGTGTTAAAATTCCTCATTAACAATACCTGCTAAAAAATTCTTCTAGATGACAACTGTTGCCTTTCAAAATATTTGATAGGCTCATTTATAAATTATTCATATTGAAATAAGCCTATTATTTTATTTGAAAGAGTTGACGTTTTTAGTTCTTTCTGATACACTAAACAATTTTGTACTATCCCACAGGTATATAAACCCACGTCAGTATTAGAATCCAAATATTTTGACACTTTTTATCTTTGAAAGTTCTTTCTGTAGTCAAATGGAACACTAAAAATTTTGTTCTAAGAGACCATAATAGATTAATGGCATTATCAAGTTGCGTGCGTGAGCTAGACATAAAATTGTACTAATCTGGCAGCAAATGCTCTTTATAAAACTAGCCCAAGCCTTCCAAAAAAACCAAAAAATAAAATCAGTTTATGTCAACCAAATCTACTCCTGCTGTAAACTCTTTTAGAGGTACTGATAACAGTTTGCATTAATAAAAATGTACCTGAATGGAGCTGGGCTACCTCAGTGCATATCCTCTTAGAAAAACCCTCTTGGCTGCTTTCCCTTTTGCAATACAGATGCTGAGTGAAGGAGCCTATCAGCTGATAGCAGAACTCTGACCTTGTCAAGTCAAAGCACTGGAGCTCTTCCACTTCCATAGTTTAGACCTGTTGTGAACAGCCTTTACAACTGCTAGGTTTGTACCTTCTTATCTCTGCAACAGTTAGAAGGCCTCTGATTTAGGTTCAGTTTGGAAAGAATTATTGCAGTATCTCAGACGTGAGTAAACGGAGGTATTTAGGGATAAATATACAAATAAATAAAAGTTACAACTTACTGCAGGTCCAATTATGCCCAGATGGACGCTGGGTTCCTTTCTGTGCCAATCTAAACCAGAAGAGAAACATTTTTTTATTAATCTAAATTATTAATTTTTAATTGTTTCTCTGAAATCAATGTAAACAGCTGCATGAATAAAGAACAATTAGGCAAATACTGTATTAGTCCTTAAAAGACTGAATATGTTCCATGATCACACTCAGCCCTCATATTACTCCTCAGAATTCAAATGATTAGTGTATCTGAAAGTTAGTATTTAGCATTTCTGCTTCATGCAATCTCTTGTAATTGAAGGGTTATTTAACTAAGCTCAGATACTAAATTTGAATCATCTCAAGAGAACAATGGTCTAAATAATGCAGTGGCTGTGGCTACTGAGACAAAATTATTTGAACTTTCTCCTATGGGAAGGTACACGAGGAAGCAACTCCAACCAGTACAATTAATACTCAGTTATATGCATAAGAGAAATCTGCTGCTTTTTCAATACCAGAATAGAACAAATCCAATTACTTTACTTTAATAAACCACATTTGTTACTAACTGTCACAAGGTGATAAAGGCTTATAAAAGTAAGCTGAATAGTGGAGGCTGAATTTCCACCTTGGAATACCTGAACCTTTCAGAGAGACAAACAGAACCTGGCAAAACAGTCATCTATGTGACTATGAGAAAACTTCAGCCTAGTTTACAGTGTGCAGTCATAATGATGGGTGGTAAAATTTGCTTGTAACTTCAATGATACTAATTAGCACACACACAAATCAGTTTAACAGCCACGTGACAGGAAAATAAAAAAGTTATTTTGAAGAATGTAAACTCATCTTTTGTCTTCCATTAATATTGTATGTAACAGCAAAGCCGTTTTCCCAGCAAGTACAGTCATCAAATATTGCTTTGATTTTGATGCTCTGTTATTCCCAGCAGGCTGGAAAAGACGTGCTACAGAAATAATGTGTTGAACACATCAGTGGTTACATGAGCAGATCTTTTTTTAAATGCAAATATATTATGAAGTTTTCTGCAACAAATAAAACAGCTTATGCCAAACTTGTAAACACTACAACAAACACATCTGAATCCAGTGACAAAACAAGGGTATTCAAATAGCCAGTACCTACCTGAAAATACATCTACTAAATACAGAGGGTCTTTGACTCTTCGAAGTCCACATATCAAAAGAAACACATGCAAACTGCCTGTATCTGTAGGAATACCTGCAACAAATGATGTTATTAGTCCAAATGCAGATAAAAAAGAACACTCCAAACTGTTTCATGAATGAGCACATACAGCAGTAAAAGCAGTAATAGGGTGGATTCTGAAAACTTCTCCTTATTATTCCCTCTGTTTCTTGCTTTTACATTAATCCTCAAATCAACTCACTGAAGACCTTAATCATGCATATCATTTTATAGGACACACGAGTTTATTTTCAGAGGCAATGTGCAGGATTTGGTCAAAAAGCTATGGCTGAGCTTTGACTGGATAGACAACTATACAAATCAGTGTGTTTCTCAGTATTTCTACCCAGAAGCAGCATAAATTTACATCCATATAACAACTCACCATCTATTTCAAGGATGTTGTAAGGTTTAGTTAATCAATGGCTGTAGGGATTAGAGCTCTTGATCTAACACGTGTTGTTACAGAAGATCATGTAAATCAGGTAAAGTCCCATAACGATCTATCCCTAATATGCCAGCACTGCTACAGAATAGTTAACCTGAAGCCAAATTATTGCAAAGCACTTATGTTAACCTTATTGCCAAGAAACACACACGAAAAATAATTTGAGGGAAAAAAATCTCAACATGTGAGTTTTTAACATTGAAAATCTTGCAAATACACAGCAACAACCCATAACAAAAATAATTTTGTAGGCTATATTCTAAAAAGAAGGTCTGATGTATGACACTGCAGTTGCCATGGGCTCTAGGACAGCACAATTAATTCAGAACACACTTCTGGAGAAGGGTCGCTACATGATGAACTTTGGTAAACTGTGTTTATAATAAAACAACATAATCCACAAATTGCTGAATGAACACACATAACAACAACACAATTTAATAAACACTAGAAGGTTGGAACGTTCGTATTTGATTTACTGTACTGCACAAATCAGTTTGCTGTCCTTCAGTTCACCTGTTTATTGAGCTCATGGCAAGGATGGATGTCACATATTATCTAACACTAGGCAGTTCAATGAGGAGCAGCAAACCGCTGCTCAGCAGCAGCAGGCTGTTTGTGCACATTAATGCATGGGTCCCACATGGGGCTATGTCACATAGGTACCAGGAGGGCTATGCTTATGGTTGAAATTACTGTCTATGGGATTTATGATTAACCAGGAAGGCTGCAAGGACGGCTGTGGTGGCACAATGATCTGCTGCTGCTGAGCACTGCAGAGCTCCCTTCCTGAGGTCTCCTCCTCCCTTTCCATTCCACTCTTCACCAGTGGCAGGAACAATTAAGCTGCTAACACAGCATCACTGAATTGCTGCAATTTGTAATTTAAGATCACTCAAACTTGGTAGCAGCTTACGTTTCCTCACAGTGTTGTGTAGCTTAACTGCAGGGTCAGGCCCTGGAAGCAATACACCAGGAGTATCTCCCCTCATGTCAAGGAATTGGATTAACATGAGCTCTGCATCAAACCTGTATTTTGTGGGAGAGGGAGAATCAAAAGAGTGGTGATTCACTACTCAAGTGTTACTGCTTTTAAAATTAAACTCCATTTCAGGGACTTCTAAATGTTCCCTGTCACAGGGTTCATTACTGAGACCATTGCATTTAACTTAAAACAACTTGAGTTGTCGAGAGCAGCTGCAGTAGACATGGTAAGTAATATTTTTCTGGCTATTGGACCAAGAAATAATTTGTAATTTATAATACACAAACATCTGGATTAAAAAAGCCATTCTTCTGGTGCAACGAACCATTAACAGTTTGTTTTTAAGATATGGAACCATGGTTTCAATTTATGACATAAATTCACACAAAACAAATTACTAGAAAGTGTCATCAAAATTCATATCGCATTTTAACTATCCATATGGCATAAATACTCATTTTAAACCATGAACTCACACCTATCGATTTTCACTCTGGCTATTTTGGAACAAGAAGTTAGCACTGAAAAGTCAGTCAGAAAGTATTGAGAAACCAGGTCTTCCTGTTCTCACACAGAGGCTATAGAATTATTGCACTCTCGATATGACAGTACCCTAGTCATAGAATTATAGACAGCTTTGGGTTGGAAGGGACCTTAAAGATGATCTAGTTCCAACCCCCCTGCTAGAGGCAGGGACACCTATTCAGCATTAACTACACTTGAAATAAACACTTCTTTTTCTCTCTTAACATCTTTCTGTTTCTATCTTAAAGCTTTCAGTCTTTTCATCTTACTGGATAAGGGTTAAAAGTGTCATGACAATGAATAGCCCTGAGACCAATTCTGTGCACTACTGACTGCCATTCTGCTACCTGTACACAAACCTTAACCCAAAACAGAAACCAGGAACTGGCCTCACAGATGGCAGTTGTACTTTGTAACTTGGATTTTGCCATTTGGTTCCTGTGGCATGCATAGGTACATCTCCCAGGCATCTCATCAGTAACAGTCCTATTCTTTCACTAGTGAAATTACCTACAATAGTATTTATTAGTGAAAATAGTCCACTCATTTGGCTGTTATTATAAAATACATTCACAGCCTGGAACTCTCACTGCAGACCATCCTCTTCGTGCAACTTTACAAAGCACTACTTTATCATAAAACTGTATGCACTTTTCTCCAAAATAGCAGATACTGGATACACCACTCTACAGACTGGATTCTGCATGGCATTTCTAAACCCTGCCATAGAAGGGTTAGATTTGCCTCTGCCATCCAATTTAGTGAAGTGAGAATCAGGTGCTTTTATTTTATTGTATGTTTTAGATCTTAGTCATCACCTAATTCATTTTTACAGGCAGACTTTCCCCACTCAATCCACTTAGAAGCGTATTAAAGACACTCCTGTGAAGATTGCCTTGCCAGCACATCACTGCCACTGTTTAGTGCTGGGAGTCTACTCATTCTCTGCCTATTTAAGATCAAACCTCAGCAGCACTTGTGTATGTTGTTAGCTTTCTGGTCATTTACTGAAAATTGCTAAATGCACACATCAAGGCCATGCCTTGTTTCCCAACTTGTTGCTTTCTCAAGCCTTGCTAGCACCCCTGCTGTGAAAAAAAACCCAGTCATTTGTACAAGAGAGCAATCATTTTAGTACGCTTTGTCCTCACAAGAACACTGTCAAGGGGAACATATGAAGAGAACAACTGCAATAGTTGCCTTTACCAGCTATAGTCATCAGCTGCAGTGAAAACTGGTATTCGAAAGAAGACAGTTTTTCTTTTTCTTAGAACTTAAACAAGACTTCTGATACGTGAATTTTTGCTATCATTCTGCCTTTCCCAGATAGGCTACTTCATACACTACTGCCTCGTGTGATTCAGTTCTGAAACGGAAGTACATTAATATGGCACAATCAACTTGATTTGTTCTTCTGATACATTCACTGTGCCTCTATCTTGGTGGACATGCAAACACCCAAATAACAAAAAAGTAGCTTGTGCCTGTTTCTCCCATTTCTGTTAGTGTTAACAAAAGCAAAGATTTGAAGCAGCACACTGTGCTTCATTATCTCTTCGTTCACATATCCTTCTGTTTGCTTTGCAAAGGAAATACAAAATGGAAAGATTTGTACATAATCACTGGCAATAAAAAAGAAAAATAATGCATGGTACATGTTTTCCAGCCATCCTTCAGAATCACTACACACTAAATGCAAGGCAAGTCTTGCCACTGTAATCAACATCTCCTTCAGTGTCAAAAACAATTGTTTAATGCCAGTAAGAGATGTTCCTTTAAACATGCATTGTCAGTACTTGTCTATGGCTGTAGTCTGATTTGTTACATTGGCTTTATCTATAAAAACCAGCTGCACATTGGCCGCAGCTAGTCTTGAGCCTGCAGGGCACCTGTTCAGCAAGATGTAAGAGGTCAAAACAAGAACAGAGACCGATGGGGTTATGAAAACTCATTCCTCTGATCAACTTGATGGTATGCTGTCCTGATATGCCACACAGAACCATGGTGATGGTAACAAATGAACTGCAGGTGAGCTGAAATGAGACAGGCACAGCAGAAGATTAAAACTGACATGGCACTCCCACGGTCATGCAACTCCTTTTTCATAATGGAGCAGAGGTGGTATTATGCTGCTCAAAATTGAAACACAGCAATGTAGCTTTAGCATGTCAAATTTCAGAGAGGAATTGCATGATCAAAAGGCTATCCTAGCACTGTGCCAGCGTATTTGTTGATAGTATTGGAACCTGGCACAAAATATACTGGCGAGTAGATGAAATGTGATTAATACTCAGGATTCATGTTCTCATGCTGGCTACCTGAGTCATGGCATGGCCTAGAGAAAGTTTGTCAAATCTAGACTTATCCATCTAGATTTATCCATTCCTCTATAAGCAGGAAGCAATGGCACTGGTTTTAATTTTTGGTAAACTGTTTTGAGGTCTTCAGTTGCAGGACAGAATGAGAGAATGGAGTATGTGAAATATGGTAAACATTTCATAATGCAACACTGGAAATAAGCAGTTTGCTATTTATGATTTCACCATCTCCCAGCTTGTTCCTTGTGTGAAACTGTTTAACTATCTGTCACATCAACTATTTTACTACTATGACACATTATGATAGTTTATACTTTGGCCTTTATTAAAATCTGTACTTTGATGCCAGGATAGCAAAATATGAATAGGAGTAGCAAAAACCCCCAAATCATTTCTGCAACATTAGTAAGGACATTCATTGTTTTACTAAAGGCAAGAATAAGTAGAAGTGTTATCTAACCAGATTCTGAAAGAGCAAATTCATTTAACTCCACTCCCCTCGGTACTATCAGGGAAAAAAATGTAGTAATCATAGATGTACAGGAAAAATAAATATATTACTGCAGATCCTTACTCTTCCTGAAAAGCTGCAAGCCTCTAAGTGAGAAATACCAAGCATTACCTTGCTGAGAGGTAAAGAAGTCGGCATGTATTTTTGATACTCTGAATCTTTCAATTCGTAGTTATTCTTCACGTTCATCTCCCTACACAGAGCAGAAATACTCTACATTGCCTCTTTAAGTCTCTCGGCATCAAGAGTTTGACTTTGTGTCTCTTTCACAAGCCAACTATTAAAACAAGCTGCCCAGACAAGCGAAGTTTTCCAGCTTGTTTGACATGATGGTGTCCTACTCTGAGGTTTCTTTAACTGAAGTCACTGATGACACACAACTTCAACAATTATTAGCCTAATTAGGTCTTATTTCAAAAACATACTCAACCACCTGCAGATCTTGAACAGTTATTTTTGAAGTTGAGCTTTTATTTTACAAAGCAATTTGTTTCTTAGAAATTAAAGGGAAGTGAACGTAATAGCTGTATCCAAAGCGTTTACACTGCTATTCACATTCAACAGTGAATAATTGCTAGAATTGCTGAGATGTTTCTGAAGACAACAGAAGTTATATGAACCTGTTAATTTCCAGGGGCATGCTATTAATACAGAGAAATTAGACTGCAAAATTCTCCAGAAATCCTTTTTCTCCCTTTTCTCATTATTTCTAACAGACCAGACAACAAAAAAGCTCTATGCTTTCAGATCTGTTGGGGAGCACAGCCTACTGCTACTATTATATTATTTCTATGGTCAACTACACATCTGCACAAACATTTACTATTTAATTTTTCTTATGTAGTTCTTTATTTCCAGCATAGCTTTAGGAAAATGTAATGCCTCTGTAACACCCTGTCTGTACCATTACAGGTTATGTAAACTTTTCAAGCTCTGAAAATAGTCATGCTATGAAGCAGATATTATCTGAGTAGAAAAATCAAACTACAAAAATATATTGCATGTTTTATTTGACAGTGCAGTAAGCATCTGATCCTGTGATTCTATGTCACCTTCCAGGAAACCAGTTTTTGGTCTTATCTCTTCGGTAAAAGAGCTTTCTCAGTTCATTAGTATAGATGCTGTTAGATATCTACATCTTCTAATCACATGATGTCTAAGTGTTTATTAGGTTTTACATCTTACAAGCTTCAGCCACATTCCACTGAAATCAAAAGGAGCCTTTCATCACAGTATGATGACATCAAGCCTGTCTGTGATCTTAAGTAGCTATGCTCAATCCCTGAGCTAAATTGTTAGAGAAGATCAGTCCCAGTTTTAGCATTTACTTAGACTGTCTTGTAATTTTCTGTCAATCAATTTACAGCAAAAGCCTGAACTTTCATTGTCTCTCTCAAGTCTAAATGGGCATCTAAAGTGTCTAGCAAAACTGATTATGTTGTATTATAGACTCCTGTATTACCAGGTCAGAGAAAAACATTTTGATCATGTAGTCTGACCTCCAGACTGACACAGGCTGCAATAATACCCTAAATAGTCTGAGTTACTAAATATACTGAAAACATTGTCTTCTCGAAGCCTGTGTCGAAATCTGCGCTTGGTTCAGCTTTTGGGTTTGACTACAGTCTCTCATCCTCACAGGACAAACTGTGAAGCTGACTGTTAATCGGAATGCAAATTAACTTTAAACACTCTGGTTTTGTAGATTTAGCCAATAAACGTTTTAACAGCCAACCACTGAAAATACTGCAGCTACGAGCTAGCACATGAACACTACACAAACATCACCTCTGCAACTCTCAAGTCTGCTACTGAGACTGTGAAAAAATACTAATTCCGTGATTTTTGTACTAAGATTGTACTGTACCCATAACAATAATAGAAATATTTCACAGCACTGCTTCAGTTTCTGTTAGGCAATTACTATTTATGTTAGCAACCCAAACCATCAGATGAAATGTACAAAAAGCTGAGATTTCCTAGCTTTCAGTTTAGTACCATTCAAATTTGGGGGCTGGGCGTTGGGGGAAGTCTTCCACAGTGAAATGTATTTGATGTATTCTGCCATTCACTTGAATTTACCATTAAATTCTTTCTCAAGCCATTACACTGATTTAAAGGGTCTATCTATGTACTGGTGTTACATTTAACATGAGTCAGATGTTAAGGCTGTTCTATGACTAAAAAAAATCAGTACAAAGAATATTCATAAGAAGTCTGTTCTACGAGGAAGGTCTTGAAATATTCTGAAGAGCCTATTCCATATTAAAGAATAACTTGACAATGTATGGTCTGATCACCAGGATGTTAACACTCAAATGTATTATAATTTGCATTGTAGGGCATGTCCTGTTTCTTTACATTCAGTCCTGGGAATCCTGGATTTGAAAAATTTTCAAGGACACTACTAAGGACACAGGCAAGAATTATCTGGTTAAGTATTTCCCATAAAAATCATTAAATGTCTTTTAAATATGGAACAGAACTTCGTGAAAAAAGCCTTAAAAAAAAAATAAATCATAAATGCCATGAGGTGAACGAGATTGGACAGCTTTATCTGCATGAAAGCTAGGAATCTTTTCAAGTGCACTTCATTGTGCAAGCCTACTCTATCAAAATTAAATTCTTCTGAGCAAGACTACCTTCTATTTTTGATGGTTTTCTGCTGATTGCTCCAAGTTTAGTAGAATTTTTAAGACTTTGAAATCACAAATACCCAGAAAAGCAATCCAATGGGAACTCCTTATAAAATCTAATTAGGAGTCATCCACTCTGACTGCTTACTGGTAGAGCCAAAAAACCTACCTCCATGTGCAATTTTAAAAGAAGTGGAAATTGTAGACTGGCACATAGATATAGAGACAAAACTGGTAAGATGAATGAGATGAAACAGTCATAAAAAACAATACTGAAAAATCTAATGCCAGTTTTCAAGTTATTACTTAACAGGCACAGATGTTAGAGTCATATTTTAGTTTGCTTTTCATGTACATTATGAATTATTTTGCACTTTTGCATTAGCATACATTAGGCAAAAAACTGTCTCTAATACATTAGATGAAATGCACTTTAGGGGTAGCTTCCCCCTCTTCAACCTGTTGAATGATATTTTAATCATAAAGTGGTTGGACATGAGATCCAATCAACACTAAGGCTGTGCTAGCAAGTGACAAATGATTTCACTTCAGAAAATTATTAATCTTAGTGGTGCTGTGCCTGCGTGCTGTGATTTACTGAGAACAAAATAACGTCACAATGCTCAGTTTAAAATTGGGCACCAGTTTTGAATAATGGCACACATTTACTGATGTGATAAAGCAACTGTCAAGTAAGGATTCACTTGTACTAGAGGGAACAGCTGTACTACCAGAGATCAGATTGATTAATACAATACTGAAATTTTTTTACCACAGTAAAATGCCTATGAATTCTTCTTCTGGGAAAAGGCAGCTGGAACAATTAAAGCATTGTGGAGACCAGGTGTCTTTAAATTAGGTCATCTGCCTTACATGCTGTTGCCATACACTTTGGTGAAAACAGAGACAGGCTCTAGGTCAAGACCAAATATTAAAACATCAACACGCATTTCCCTTCTCCACCTCACCTGCTCTTCTGCAGAAGACATACAGAGTTTCCGTCTCACAACGTTAAAGCACAGCAAGCTCAGGTGTTGGTGCTTCGGTCTAACTTACCTTCTAAGAGACACTGACCTGTAGGTCATAATGATTTTATCTTTGGGTGCTGTTCAGATCAGAAATCTGGAGACAGCCTGGGTAGTTTACTAACCGTATTATCTGACTGATATTCTGCCTGAATCTAATAAAAGATTTTTTCATTTTTCTTATCATTAAGTCATCTTATAACCTAATCAGTTAACCTTCACATTATAAATTTCTTTAACATCTACTGAGATTAAACACAGAAAAAAAAAGTGAGTTTTACCTGCATTCTGTAGAAACCTATACCAGTCAAAGGTTTCCTTGGGTGTAGTCTTAATTCCTGTGTAGACAAAAGGAGAAACACAACATGTTTAACTGGTCCCTGGATGGCTGAACTATGGTTCTTCAAGTCTTGCCCTGAGAAAACAGTATTTCTGCCGAGCACACTGAATTCCATACACAGCTGGTCTCATCTCAAACTTCCCTCATCCCAACAGTGCCAGGTTGTCTGCACAATCCTTCTGTAGTCATCAGATTGAAATTCAATCGAAAATTTTGCACAATCACTCAGTGCATGAACTTCTTTAGCAACCCAGGGAATTAAACTCACTTACACTTTGCTACATTTGGCCTTTTAAAATCTACATAGTGGACAATATTATCTGAGGGAACATATTATTCCAAAACAGATACAGGTCAGCTGAGACCCAAGTTCTTAACATAACACAAAGAAAGAAATAAGAATGATATAAAATTATATAAATTAGATATTAATTTAAACTGAATGTTAATGTATTCAGTTTGCCTCATGTTAAAGATCAATTATTTTACTAATGAATCTATTATTTTTTAAGTATCTTAACTATTACCTCCCAGTGGGCTTAAATATAGACTAAATGTGGGTGAATAGACCTCATAATGAGTTTTTCAATGTAATAGTTTTGAAAATCATTTTATTTCCTTTGCAAATGAAATATATAAAATGGAATGGGCTTTGGAATCTGTAGATCAATCAGAAGCTGTAGCTTAAGCAATCACATCTAAAATGCTGAGCTGAGTGTCCCTAGACTACTCAAGTACTTTAGATAAGAATCTTGTTGGGTATCATTATTCTGGGAACTCAAAGCATTTAAAAGAATTTGGAGTTTTAGGGATAATCATACAACATCAAAACTTCCTTATACTTCGAAGAAAGCTCAGTGCTATCTTAGATCTTACCTTATCTTTCAGATTTTTACTGTAAGGAATCCAGGAAAACTTTTCTTAAAAGAATCAAAAGAGTTGAAAATCTAGGCTAAGAGACTGAAATACTGCCTCAATTAATGTAAATGGCAAAAAGCTCAACTTCAGTGGAATCAGGACTTCAAATCCCACACTCATTTCAGCAAAATATTTCTGGGGCAATAAACAAACTAATAAAGTGAATACCTTAGTCAATATTTCAAAACTCTCACCTTGCGTCTGGACATATATTTTCTTCCTAGCATCTGGCTTTAAAGAGAAGGAGAAGAAAAGTAACTTTCATAGTTCACCATAAAATATCTGTTCAATCATCAAAAAACCCCACCTGGTATAACACAGTGCACATCAGGATGATTTGATTATTAAAAATCAAAATAGACTATTAGAAAGATACATTTAAGTTACACCAAAAGCCAACAGTCAGCAATGTAAATTACACTTACAATGAACATTTACAGTATCAATGAATCAATTTTGCAACTAACACAATTACCAAGTTGTGCAAATGCATTTTTAATTTATCTCTGTATCCTTCATCAAAATCATTCACTGCTTATTGCACAGAAAATTACAATATTTCCCTACCCAACTACAGAACAGCCCTACTTCTCCAAAAACGTTCTGTCTTGAAAGAAAAATTATAGCTGGTTTTGAAACTACAGTCCACATTCATCCATAATAGACTTTTATACACATTAGAAATTAAACAAACCCCATTTCCCTCTAACCATTTCAAAAATTGCTGACAAATATACGTAGACTTGTTCACACAGAAAAACTGTCCAGTAGTACTTACTGCAGAATATACCCAAATAAAAACTGTAAAAGAAATTATTTTAAAACAGCTATAGTAAAAGAGGTAATTACTTAACAACTTCCAGAGCTACTCCCAAAGTGCTACTATGCTAGTTATTTAATTTAGGTGATTAAAAAAGCAAGTTCCTATTTCAGTCTCTTTCTACAACTCAAATCATGAATTTGTGGAATACATTTTTTTCCACAAAAACATCAAAGTATTCTTGGGAACGTTCTACATCAAAAAGAAAAGCAACAAACCCAAACCCAACACCACGACTACCCAGCAAACAAGCAGAGGTTTTTTTGAGCTCACAGTATTTGTGCAAATACTGTGTTCTTATTGTTCTAAAAAGCACTGGTTGCAATGCCTGCAAAGAGTATGCTAAGGACAATATTACTCAGCTGGTGTAATCTCCAATAGATTTGCTCAATATAACCTTGAATGTTTCAGCTTTTAATTATATTCTTGTAAGAATTTCAGTTAATGCTATTGCTTAATTTTTTTTAAATTATATTGGACCTTTCAATCCAGTTTTACACTACTGAAAAAAACACTGACCATACGCACAAAATCTTTTACAGTATTTCAAACTCATCTGGAATACAGATCATTATAAATACTGCATTATGTAGTTCATAATTAAAGATAATTTATCCAATGTAATAGAAAAGAATTTGTCAGAAGATACAACCCTTGAGCACAGTGCAATTGCTTACATGTTCGTAATTTAAATTCTTAATTGACCATCTAACTAATAAAGCACACATTAGAGGAATAATGCAGCTCACATTAGAGTGAGTTAATATGTAAAAGTTTTAATATTCAGTGACCTCAGTATGGAAAGATGTATTCTTACTCTTCACTGTTTGAAAGTAAATGTGTGGCATTTGCTCTTACCCTTTACATGAAGATAACAGCTAGAAAAACAACACAAACCCCCAGCATTAAAGACACAGGTCAGCAGCTGGTATTTCATTTTAGGACTTTAGAGACTTGCCTCCAATTCCCAGTCTGCTACAGAACCTCTCCAGAACACTGAGAATAGGCCCAGAGCACAAAAGTGTTTAGGCAAAATCAATCAAAGCCAAGTACTTAAAAACATTTGAGGTGCTGATTTCAAAGGGATTTCAAAGTCCAAGTTTGTTTTTCCTCCTCATACTCTGCTACTTTTGTTTTTTCTGGCATAAGACCTATGACAGAAGCTGAACCTTTCGTGTTTACCCATCATGAAGTTAATGTTAGTAATTATTAAAATCAAGATATAGTTGTAATATAAATACCAGATCCTATGTCTGCTCAGGTATCTTTATTTAAAAAAGAAAAAAATCAACTTATGCTGAAACAAAGTACTGAATATTGATTTGAACTGTTGTACAAGCTCCACTCTAAATGATTCTTTTAGGCAAGGGTTTATTAATGAGTTTGTATTATAATGCAAGTTAGAACTGAAGAGATACCAAGCAGTTAGTTTCTACTTTTCACATTTATTGTTTAGCTTCAGATGGTGTTTCCTAAGATGAGGTGAGTGGAGCTAACAACTGGTGGCAGCTGGAAGAGGGTGGTCCTGCCTAGTTCTTTTTACCCCAGTGTGTTGCCCCTTACTGTCAGCCAAATAGTTACTGCTTGCCCTTGACTGGACCTGGTGCTCACTGCAGTTCTCTGTGATCCAGTACAAGTTTTACACCAAGTTAGTTAGAGAGCTAACCTTGCACAGAAAATCAGCAGGACTAGCAAGCTAGATCAGCAAGCCCTGCTGCAGAGTTTTTCACAGGTTACTAGTGCAGCCTGACACTATCTGTGGTCCTCAGACACCAGGACTGAGCACTGTCCACTTCAAGAATTTATCTCAATTTTTTCCACGACTTTTCTGCCATCAACTTAAAGCACAAAGAGGTGAAAATGTTGACCCAGTCTGTTTTCAAACAGGAGCATCAGATGCTAAAAATAATTGCACTGAATCTCTGAAGTAGACTTGCAATACAGCAGATGTAATGGTACCTACTAAATGAAAAGAAAGTGAACAAAACATTATTACTCCCAGTTCTTTGCTAGCTAAATGACCTCCTTTAAAAACACTGCCAAATGTATTTAACCACTATACTATTGGATGAAAATAATGTTATTCAGTGTTTTTTCCATGGATCATTCAGCACAGTGTGTTTCATTTAGTTTTTAGAAGGAGAGATGAGTTGTAACAAAGTTAACTGCTATTTATGTGCTACATATTCCTCAAGGCCTGGTCAACAGGGCTGTGTATCACCTATTGCCAGGCTTAGCATAAGTTCAGTTTTACCTCTGCATTTCAGCTTAAGAAGTTCATTCTATTTCCAGTCTTGACAAAACAAATATTTTCAAATTATTCTTCCTAATTCTTTATTGTAAGTAAAGCTGTTTATTGGAATTTTAGCAACATAAAGTTTATTAAAGGATGCAAAAAGAAACAATATATGCATATGGATGGCATCAGGAGCATCTCGATGACAGCAGCAATGATTAGTTTTAAATGTTAGAGAGAAACATTTCCTAAACTGCTGTATACTCTTTTCAAATACTAAACAGCTTCTAAATGCCAGATCTATCTAACCTGTCGAAGTACATAAATATGAAATGCTTTCTCTGAAAGGAAAAACAGGAATAAAGAATATGAAGATTATTGCAATTCTCTAGCATTATAATAATGCTTAAATGCTTAATTATAAATAATGCTAAAGAAAACATTTTAGGAGAATGCATAGTTACTAATACTATAAGCATCACCATCATCACGTAAACATACCCACTCTGCTGCTGCCAGTTCCTTCATTTTCACCGTGAAAGCCACTGCAAACCTAGTTAAATGGACAAAAATAGTAGGGAACATCTGCTTAAAGTGTTTAAATGTAAAACCAGGAAAATACTTCAGAAAAAATCTTTGTAAGAACAAAGAGCATTATTATAGATGAAAGACAGAAAGCAGGCTTTCTATTTGTTTTACCAGCAAATACTGGTGAAACAAATGGTATCTCTTCAGGCTTTACGACTTAGAGCTCTTGGGGAGTTAAACTGAGGATTTCTTAAGGTAAGAGAAAACCCAAATAATGGGAACATACCCCCATTTATCTGATTAACATGTACAGCTGCGTAAGTGAGTTAGCATTTCCTGTTTCTACATCATTACAAGCTGCACTAGCCCTCTTCCCAACCAGGAAGCTAGGTAAGAAGGGATCTTAAGTCCAGTTACTTTCATAGTATTGCTGTTTTACAATACCCAGCCCCACTGTTTGCAACTCACTGCAACTGAGTTTAATTCAAATGAGCAGATGGATTTTTTTTTAAACCTTTCCCCAATGTTCTTTCCTTCTTTCCAAGCAGTCAGAGCTGTTAATGAGTAAGAAATATTTGAGAGACTAAAATGTTATTCTTCAGGAAAAATACCAGAATTAATTAAACTGAAAAAGAAGAAAGATGATCCAGTGGCTGGGCTTCAACTCTGGAATCTCACCGACTTGGGACACTCAGCTCTGTGGCTGTGAATGTTACGCATCTGGGTGTAGATGAAATTTGCAGTGCTGAGGTAAACTCCTCTATAATAAATTGGAAGAACTGGGTGCCCAGAAATTAGATTTACCACAGTCATCATTTCAGGCAAAGAGCCCATTACCCTAGTCAGACGTAATACTTATAGAAGGGCACTTTGACTGTTCTCTGCTTAAGACTCTTCTTTGATATGAGAAGGGCGTTTAAATGAAAGAACTTTAAAACAGTGCATGAACACCATCTACTCCTACTCTATATTATATACAAATGGTAACACCAGTGTATGAACAAGCAAACCAAAATATACTTGAATAACACAATGGCTAGAGTTGTCATCTGGCAGAAAAAAAGAATTTTAGTTCCCAAGCTTACCTCCACTTTTTCTCTTATGGCTGTTTATAATGGCTCATCTGGACATCTACTTTTGTGAATTTGTGAAATGCACACTATCATTTCACATAATGGAACAGTTACATCAGAGACAATTTAAAAGCAGCATTAATAGGACCAGTTTTCATTTTGGGGTTTTTCGGCACAGAGAGACTTCAGCCATGAAAGTCAGATTTTTAAGCAATCTAGATAAACAAGTTGTTCTTAGTGGGAGGTTGGTCTAATACGAAGAAGTCATGTGAGATATTTTTATGGAGTCAGAGCTACTAAAGAATCCCTATTCAGAAGAGATCTTAAGAACATGCTGGGCTTTAATGTAGCTTTTAAGTTGTGATGAAATAGAAAACACATGGCTTTGACTTTTCTTAAATGGAATTTTAGTGTTAACTGGACACAAAAATGAGACCATTTCTGAAGACTATCAAAACTGTGGAATAGAAATGTTTGAACACCTCCTTCATATGAGACATAAAATGCCTGCTAAGCAGTTTCTTTTTTTTTTTTTTAACTGCTTTTATAGATATTGAATATAAAACAGAGGTTATCACATATTACACTTCTGATCTGGTGTTTCATTTTCATAGATGGAATGTTTCGGTCCTGAGCCAACCCTATGACACCTCAATGGCTACAGATGAAACACATTGCTAAGTTACAAGCGGAACAGTGCTTTTCTATTGGGGGCATTATGTTACAATTTGGGGACATGAAATCACAATCATACATTAGAAGTCACATAAATGCTGAATTATAACTCCTACTTTTGTTTGTTGAAACAAACCTTATTCCAAACTTTATTCCCATACATTTGTTTTGTAGTATCTGTTTTATGGTAGTAGATGAATTTCATATATACTACTTGACAGCTTTAAGGTTATTAAAGCCTTTGCAAATGCTTGTTTTGTCAAGTTGCACATGCTCCTCTTCCAGTTTTTGCAATTACACTTTCAATACATCACATTAACAAGCAGAAAAAACCTCTCTTGCTCCAAAGTCTACAAAACTGTTCCACAGAAAAAAAAAATACCCTAGAGGAGTACAACTACCATTTAGAGGAATTTGATTAAAAATGAAACACTCATAAAGCTAGACAGTGTTCAATACTTTGTTTTATGGAATATGGTGGTATATTGTACAGGACAAGTAATCTACAATTCATGATACTTTCTGCTTAGAACCCTGCAATCAATAAAGAAAAAAAAAATAAAATCAATGTTTCATTTAATAACTATGCAATGAATAATACTAGTGATAATACTGGAGAAGAGATACATTCAGAATAAGTTCTAGAAAACTGAATTATTTTTCCTGTAGCACAGAAAATATTATCAACTGAATAAAGATGCAGTAATGTATTCTGAAACATCATGGGCAATCCATGCTACTAAGCTATACTTCAAGTTCCTAACTTAATTATCATTAAAAAAAAACCCAAACATTCAGTAAAGCAGTTTTTGCACAAGGTATATTAGTTATACTTGTGACAGATCATATTTTAAATACAGAACTGGATCAAACAGGCACCCAGAGATTCTGGGTTTATATACTTTTTGTTTTGCAAACTGCTGAAATTTAGCTGACACATTAGATATCTTTTTTCTCTTCCTTCAGACCTGTTTGAAGAATAACTTCTGATTATCTGATAACAAAAGCAAACAGGTACATAAATTTTGTCTTGAATAGGTCCTTAAGTTGTTTTTCAACTGCAAGTCACACTAAGACGTAAGAATGTGCCCTAATGGATTTTTCAATAAGCATGATTAAGTGCTGTCTTTAAAATCTGTTTACCTACCCCATTTTATAGGGCACAATAGACAGAACACCGTATCTATGCCAGCGTTAAGCTAGCTAATAGCAGCTAGAACATATAGTGGTATTGGCAAAGGTAAAACTATGAAATACAAGCCTGCTGCAGATTCTGTATGTATTTCCTCATTGCTAACATCAACCAAAATCCATACTGCCACATCTGAACCACTGCAGTCATCTGCCTTTGCCTTAGCTAGAATGCTGTGATGAATGAACAGATAGTATCCTGATAAAGCACTGTTCAGCAAAGTATTTAACTTCTCCTAAAATAAATATGCAACCAGTACCAGTGGATTTGATAAGATGTTCCAGATGCTTAAATTTTATCTCACCTTGTACACTCAGGGACCCCTTCGCTTATGCAGAGCTCAATTCTGGAGTGATGACTCTTCAGAGTACTCAAGTCACCAGAAGCTCAGGCACAGTATAGCCCATGAGGCTGAGTGACCTGCTGTAGCAAATTACTGCCACCAAGAAGACATCCTTCTCTTATCCTTCCACAAGCTGTCATTTCTTATTAAAGGGGTAGAAAACTAACCCAGAAAAAAAAAAGAAGCCAATTTTACACCATTTAGTGAGTTAAACCTGCTCATAAAGCAGTCCAATCCTGGCACAACGAGGAGTAGATCACACAGCCACAAGCAAGAGAAAGGAGAAGGAGAGCAAGAGAGGTAGCAGTAGCGCCATCCCTGCCATCAGTGAGCTATTATGCTAGCTACACGATAGTATAACATTAGCCTCTATCTCAGTAAGACTTGAACTATTTCTTCAATTAATGTCATCCACTGGTATCTTTACATATGTAAAATGCTTTAGTTGCCAACAAGAAAAGGGCTTACTGGCTGACCATGGACATGATCAAACACTGCTGAAGTCAAGCAATAGGACACCTCTTTTCTGGAGATGTTGAAACAATGAGGAATGCTTTTTGGTTTTTAGTCACTCTCTCTGATTTCTTGAACTACATTTGATGACTACACTGACATGTCACTGGAAATCTTACGGACTTTAAACCACCCTTTGAACACTCCCTTGTCAAGTCACCTAAAAAATTGAGAGAATTTGCTTAAAGATATTTTTCAGTCTACTTCTTTGTTCATGTATCTAGAGAAAGGATCACATTATCAAGGGGGAAAAAAAAAAAGAACAGAAGCTCTTTATACATGAGTCATCTGCTTTTCTATCAAGCACTCTGTCAACAAGCTAAATGCCAGGCCTCCAAGAAAGAGGTTTGATTCTGGATGAACAAGACAAACGCCAGTTATTTTTAGTTGTCATCTTATTTAAGTGTGCCGGGCACCTTGGTCTGTATGTGCATAAAATGTTAATTCCAATACAGAATGTTTTATATGTTTGAATATATGTAATGTAAACCAGAATTTACTAAGAAGCAAAGGTTTGAAAAAAGAAACAACTCGGTGCAACATTTAGCACTTCCGGCAGAGGGCCTTGGCAAACAAGGGTCTTACCTTGTTTAGGTTTCTATTACTACACTAAGATTTAATGAGAATATTCATACCCCCACCACTAAGAAATATTTGCTATTTATATAAACAGACCTCCAAAACTAACTCACCATTAACCACCTCCACTACTAAAGATTCCCTATTTAAATACCACATATCAGTTATTTCATGGCCAGAATAGTTCTGTACAAATGAGAACTGTATGGATATTGTTTGAGATATTTAGATGTGCATTTCTTTACCTAAATCTCTGCAAACATAAATAGTCTAAAATAATTTTGGTAAGAATTATAAACTTGATTTCATAAAATTGTACCCATTACATAATAAATAAACCACAGTCAGGTTGCTACAGTGTAGAGTTATACTAACCATCAAAGGCTGCCTTTGTAACTTCTACCCATAAAGTAAATTATTCTACAGAGCAATACGCTACCAAATCCCAGGTTAAGTATTGTTGCTATTACTCTCATTTCTTTTACCTGCCTTAGAATTTTATATCCTAATCACATGCATAGTTCTATTACTCTACAAAACAGAATTCAGTAGGCAAAGCACAGAATTAGTTAGTAAGAGCACATATTTCATTAGCTTTTAATGGGATTTTAGTAATTTTGAAAATTTACATCCCAAAAGCCCAAGTTTCAGCAATATCTCTGCCAACTCTTACATGGACAAATACAAGGAAATATCAAATGAATAGACTGCATACAGACTAAGTTTTATGAGGAAAAAGATCTGCCATTACAAAAATGCAATTTCTTGTCATAAACCTTCCATGCATGGTTTTACCTGGCTTCTTCCAGCACTGCTCCCATTACCCGATGTTTCTCTTCACATTTGACATCTTCATTTACATCTGTCCCACCAAAGATGATTCCAAAAGGAATTCTGCTACCTGCAAGGCAATGACTACAATGAGAAGTTGACCGACATAGAATCATAGAATGGTTAGGGTTGGAAAAGACCTTAAGATCATGTACTGGTAATGAATAGATAGGAACATTAAAAGTATATTGATAATACAGTGTCATGTATGTAAGCAAAACCCTTTGAAAAGGAAACCTGGAGAAACTTGACCTTTTATGGTTTGGGCACTGAAAAAAACCCATACAATAACTGCACTTTCACAGCGTGTCATCTGCTGTGCCTCTGTGAGATTTTTCTTTGCCTTTTCTATGCTTAATAAAAGCAATCAATTAGTTTCTACACTTGTCAGCCCCCCAAATAGCATATGTATTTTAAATACTATTCACACTTCAATAAGATGCAGTACTGCAAAGTTTGGTCTTAGGTAGCTAGCCTCAGCCACTCATTCACTGCCCCCTCAAGCATTCCAATGCAGAAGTTTGGGTAACCATCCTGCAAAGCTAGTTACTGATTTTTTTATTTTTCAGTATTGACTTCTGAAGCCAGTTTACTGCTACAAAAAACATAGATGGAGCCACACCACTGGAAAAAGCCACCAAATTAAGTAAGTCAGTATATGTGAACCTGCAACAAATGCACTGTTTTGCCTGATCCCATCCCAGAAGATGTGTTTTTAATTGGTTGTTCCAAGGTCTTCTGTGATCACCCAAGTTAGAAAGTTGTTTTACAATGCCTTACAGCGCTCAGAGGGCTATGAGTAGAAGGCGGCATGTTGGCTGTGAGACAATTTGTGCACAAGACCGTATCAACATTCAAGTTCTAGAGTATCAACAAAATTATACATATCCTAGTGGTGTCTGCTCTCTGGTAAAAGCCTAGTTTTGATACATGGCATCAGAATAAATTCATATTTGTGTAAAGGTAAGGCCACTAGAACAGGTACTGTAGCACTTCTATGCTAACAGTTCCTAGACTTACACCGACATGGCCAAAGATTACTTTGAGGAAAATAGAAAAGCCAATAGTAGTGCAAGATACTCCTTTCTAATAGTATTTCTTTTCAAGTCAAGTTATTTTTAGTAACTGTCAAGTTACTAGTAATGTTCTCCCCTTAAACTAATCAAGATAGCAGACAATAATGTTTACTGCTGATTGTTTCAGCACTGAAACCAATTAAGTGGTCAGTTTTACACCACATTAAGCTAACAAATAACCTTGTGGTGGCTAATTACTACATGCAGAACGTTGTTTTAAATTCCAAACAGGACTGCAGTTTTGTAAAAGAAGCAGTCTCCAGTATGGCAATCTACAAACTCCATCATTAGGATGACCAGTTCTGTGGATTCTGCAGACTTCTCTAGCTATAACAGAAGAAGCCAAGGTTTCCTTCTGATTATGAACAATAATAGGCAGTTAGGCCATATTGCCACTACATACTGTGTATCAAGAAAGGCAGAAAATATGCTTTGTTTTTTCACTTTTCCTATCGGATGGAAGGGGATAGGGATCAGGGACTTAGTAGCCAACACTGTCCTCAGCACTGGACCAACAACCAGGCGCGAGGGGTTGCTGTGTTGGTGCAGGTTCTTCCTTTTGAGAGATAATATAACTGACCTTGAACGTTCATGGCTGTGGAAACTATTGGTGACGCTTTCTATTAATACCCACAGCGTCTTAAGGGGTTGGAGAGAAATGACAGGTTAAATTCAATGAGCTCTTACAATTCATGATTAAAATTAATGTTTAAAATCAAGCATATAAAGAAATCTTAAAGCAAAAGAGGAACATAATAAATTGATAAAAATAGAAAAGGTACTCTGTTTCCCATTTATACTTGAAAATTAAGTGAGCTTTAAGATGAGGGTTTATTAGCATTGCTAATTGCCTCATTACTAAATGAAAGAAACAAAAAGAATGAAAGATTAATTGCCATTCTAGCTACTTGAAGACTTTCTCTGGCATTTTTAGATATTCTACTCTAATGTTTGTAGGTATTTAGATTTAATTTAAGGTTTGTAGGAAAGCACCACAGCACTAATCTTCAAGAGTCTGACTTTCTGTAATTCTTTGTCTCTCTAACAAATAAAGTAAACAACTACTGTCATCTATTACATGTGTTGAATATACAACCCCAATCATGTAAACGAAGTTTCCAGAATAAGGCCCAAAAGATCAGTAGTATGGCAGTAATGGCCGTAATCACTGAATTTCTTTAAGGAATTTCATAATATAGAGGGTATGGAAGAATACATATTCCATGAAATAGGAACGTCCTCTGAATCACTTTTTTCCTCCAAGAAGTCTACAATAACTTTTATACTTTGACTAAGATCATCCCAGGTATCATACTATTTACTGCCTTGCTTTTCACAGATTTATTTTTCTTTCAATTATTGCAGATGTTTTTTGGAACAGTGTGACTGTGATTTATTTAAATTACTGAGCTTTTGTAAATCATTCAAGTATCAAGCTTTGCAGGTCACTTGCAATTTTGAAAAGCTAATAGCAACAGCACTCAGGCAACACTATGCAAGTCAAAACTGCAATGAAGTTTAACAGTAAACATTTAAAATCCAACCTTCTTTTTTATTCCTTAGCAAAAAAAAAAGCCTCTTCCAAAACAATTCTAGGTCTTGTCACAAAACCAACCATCTCTATATTCCAACAAGAGAAGTCTTAATATGTATGTTAGCAGACATCATCTTAGGGAATTACTTTATTTGTATTCTAGGGTCCCTACCGGAATCAGAGCTTCATTGTAATACAAGATATGCTTGCATGTCAGACATAGTAATTCAAGCTTTCTTAAAACCCACCAGCACAAATTGCAGGGGGACTTAAGTCTGAAAACCAGCGCAACAGAACTTACACTGAGATCTGAATGAAGTATCAAATTACTCGTCTTTGTCCAAGTGAATAGATTTGTACAATACAGAGATGATCTCAAAAATGGATCCACACTTGCAATTTCAGTAGGTGACTGCCTGTAATTTTGAAAGCCAGTGCTCCTAGTGTATCATTAATGTCAGGCTAATATTTTGTGCTATGTGGCTAGATACAATAGGAAATTTTATTATTTGTCTGATAACATCCTGTCTCCCACCGTATAGTTGGCATGAACGACACCTTAAGGTTATTCCATGCCCAAAAAACCACTGACTCTTTTTTGATCAGAAAAACCAGATTAGCCTCTCTACTTTCTATCTGACCTCGGCTATACTTAGCCAAGCCACTGTCCTCTGAACGAACACATTTGCTGAAAGTATCTCAATGTTAATATAATGCTCTTATCTTAATGTAGTTAAAGTGCTTAATTATGAAATGCATTATGTGCTTTAAAAGTCCATTTATTTAGTTCTCTCCTCTCTGGATCATATCTCCCACAGAGAAAGATTTTCAGCATTTCTGAACATTCATTAAAGTGGATAAACAGAATAACTACAGTACGTGTGGGTTTATACATTTAAAGCCATTTATAACTATTCATTCTCTTCTCTTTCAGTACCTTTTTAAGAGGTATTTTTATTGCAAAATAGAAAGAGGATTACCTTGCAGAAGTCTGCCTCCTTTATAAAGATGAATGGCCAGGGCTCCATCAAACTTGTCTGCGGAGGTTAGGTTTGCTATTTCAGTTTGACTTTCATACATGAAAGCATCTTTAAGAACACAGATGTGACCTGCAGCATGTAGATGATTCCTTCATTATTGGAACAAATAGGAAAAGAATAAAAAAAAAGACATTATTAATATTGTAGGCATGCTAATATATCAAATAAGCCTAATAACAATGTTTTTCCTTAATAACTTTGGTCTGACATTCATGTTTATGCTCATTTTGTTCAAGCAACCATGGAGCTATTCACAAGGTTGGTCTTTTTCTTCCTGGAAAATATTTGTCACCTTCACCATTGTGAAGCCACATGCACACTTACAAGCAACACAATCTGCATACATTTTAAAGCCCAAGCCTACAAAATCACCTCTGGAAATTAGCAGAAGTGAAGTACAATCAGGATCTTTCCTGACTGAGCTTCAGCTTAATATGCTGAAAAGACTCCTTTTGGATTGAGTGTGTTAGACCTTTGCCTTAGAGTTTCTCAGATTCTTGTTTTGGAGAAAGGCCACTGAGTGAAAAAAGCACAAATACGTCCAGCTGATCTATGCTATTGAAAACACAGCATAGGCAAATAAATGAATACGTAAATAAAACTGAAGAGCTGAAATTGTATTCCCTTTTTGTCTGATTGTGGCTTTAACTGTTTCTTGTCTTAGTTTACCCATTTGTAAAACAGGCACAGGATAATTGAAGTATAAGAAAAAAACCACGCAAAAGTAATTACACAAATAATTTCACAGTCTTTTTTAAACATCTCAATTGCTAAAAAGGAAAAAAAACACCCAAACCAACAACAACACACCACCACACCCCCTTAGCTTACCTATTCATCCTTATGGTTCCTCATATTAAAACACTGATTCAAAGACTGACAAAGTCAAGAGACTGATAGACTACAGGGATCTTTAGGCATTTTTGTGAGCGTTGTTTTAGTCTTTTCTTTTATACTCAGGCTCACAATTCCTCCCACCAAAACTAAAGTCATTTATCAGTTTCTCCAATGACATCAGCCAAAATCCACGTTCTTGAGAAAATCCATTATTTTCATAAAAACTAGCACACTATCTGCTGACAAGTACTGTTTACATTTTCAGTATTATAAAAAGACCACAAGAATGTTTTCTGCTTATTATGTACTGTTCCAGTTGATTTATTTCTCATAGCATATTAATTGTTCTGGCATTAAAATCCTGCTAACTCAATAGCTTCTTGGATAATGTCGGCTCTTCCGTTTCTTGATGATTTTATATCCTCCCAAGGAATGTAATTTTCTGTCCTGCAGAAGTTAGTCATTACTGCAGAAATTGGTGCTAAAAATGTTGTAAAATGTCTTGAGGCCTTGGAAGGAATGTATTAGCACTCTATCAGACAGAGCTCCATTGGCACAACATATGGTGCTGTATTTCTTCCTTATTCTAAAGAGAAACTCATTTTACTTTTAACTTCACCATTTGAAACAAGACCAATAAATTGTAATATGTACTAGTAAATAATAAAATACAGCCAGATTGTAAGCTCCCTATTTACACTGTTCAGCAATTATTTACATCAGTTGTCCCATGAACATGTTCCAAGTACCTGCCTGCTTTTTGAAAGAGGCTCTCAATTTATAACTAAGTAATGATGCCCAAATCTCACAGCTGTGGAAAGAAAATCTCTCGGGCAAATAGTCGGGATGCTCGTGCATGCATTCCATAATTTCACAGGTGCTCATTAAATAGTCTAAAAGATTTTTTTTTCCCCATCAGTATTGCAATTACCATAAATCACTATCATGTACAAGCAATATGTTTGCATATTACAATTAATTTGAAAATAACTCTCTCAGGACATTGGGAATCAAGAAACTCTGCTAGGAACGTCGATCTAAAGCACCCTTTTTTTTAATGTACTAGGAATGAATACTTCTTTCCTCCACAGTTTCCACAGCTCCAAATCTCACAGCTGAACGGCAGCTGTTTCTGCAGTAAATAGAGGGGGACTCCCTCAAGTGTTCCAAGGCTCACAAATTGTGTTTTACCTCTATTACTTCAATTTTTTTTCTATGCATAATGACTCAGGAGCATGTAAAAAATTTGCATATAGCTTAAGAAGGAAAAATTATCAAATTATTCCCAGAATCATTCAAATTCCCAGATGTAAAGAGGCCTTAATCTCATAAACATACTATTGAGCTCAACATGATTAGTCACAGGCTTCAGATTATGCATATATGGAAATATATGTGCATGGAAGCAGAGTTATTGGGTAGTATTTAAGTACTGAAATTTGCAGTGATATTTTCATATTTTCTAAATGACTTTTCATCTTTATAATAAAAAAAGCAGATTTTCACACATATGCTGTTATCAAGGAACATGATAAGAGGGTGCTGCAAAGTTATTGCAGATTTTTTTCGAAGGCTGATCTGTCTGCGAAGTCACAGATGTCCCTGAATCAAGCCAAGACAGAAGAGATACATTAACCATCTTTCCTCCTCCTGGCAACTATGTATTCACATTATTTTGCCATTTCATAAACAAATACTTTCTGAACGAAAAATAAAAATGAACATTCACAGTCTCCTGCTGTCTGTGAATCTAAGATAACACTGAAAATGCTAAATCTCATGGCTACATTTTCTCTCCATCACAGTGTTTGCGTGTAGTAGATAAATTTCCAAGTGTCTTACCAACCACTGATTATTGCTTGATACAGAATTTGCCTTGCTCTGCCTTATCTTTCCTTTCTGCTGAAACTCTCATGGCAGCCAATGCTACTGCTTAGGGATATTAATGTTTCTAAAATGGAGCTCCAGATTTTGGGTGTTATACTAGGAAGTAACCAAACAGGGAAAACTTGAGTCGTTCAATAAGTTTGAAAGGTCATTTCTTAGAGTACGTTATATTAGTCACTGCTTACACTGTGATACATATACACATCTGCACAGCGAACAAAATATTCCCCAGCTCCACTGATTTTAGTATTCATGGAAGTAATATATTTTGTTATACTTTTTACACTCTTTGGAAATCATGAGGCTTATAAGTGAAACTTGTGTCTGCTCTAGATCTATACCATCTGCGGAGAGATATTGCCAAAAGGTACAACCATTTTCTGACATGTTTTCATTTCATTAAAGGTTTTTTTATAGAAAAACATTTTTCTCTAACACGACTATGAAATATCACATGATGTTTTATCATCAACCTTCAACCTGAATCTGCAGTTCACAGGTCTTCATATACAAACCCAGTTTTATAGTTCCAATCATAGCACGGCTGAACCTAAGACACAAATGAGCAAAAAAGTATGTTTACTTCTAAAGTACTGTATTTTTGAAACTTGCTTCATTTTCCATGATGTGTTCCTCTCAGAAATAGTTATGTTCTAATTTTCAACCAGAATTTCAATGGAATTACTTGCAGACAAAGAATGTTTGATTTCCAAAATGTTCCTGGTAGGCAGATACACTAACGCATCTTGAATGGCATAGAAGAGGCTTAATCAAAAAATATGAATTATCTCTTTCCCATGTAAAGCAGCTATGCATCTTTATCATCTCCATAGATTAACTGCTGTTAATCTATAGAGCCCAATTCAAAGCTTATAAAGTGAGCAGAGTCACTTCCACTGCCTTCCTGAAACTCAGCCATAGCTGAATACTCAGAATTCCCACTGAAGCTGATCAAATTGCAAGAAAACCTTGAAACCCTGCTTGATCTTCTCTGTTTGCATTGTAAATTATCTTTTTTCTTACTTGTTGAAGCAAAGCATTCTTCATTTTATTTCTCTCTCAAACTTCTCCCTTAAACAACACAGAGAAATTGTGTTGGCGTGAATGAAGTATGAATAAAATCCACTGTGAGTAAGAACAGAAATTAACAACACAAGTGAAAATGGTAAGAGAATCTTTCTGAAGTCAGTAACTGCCCTTTGGAAGGACAAAATAACTCCAAAGTTTATTTCTGCCTTATAAATAGGTCTAACTATGTAAAACATTTTGGGATGCAACATAGATCAAGTGCAGGCCATGTAAATGACTGCATCTCAGTTCCAAAGGTGGAGGATGAATGCCTGCCTTGCAGCTGCCTGCTCTGGGAATGGCCATGCAAACAACAGCAGTAATAAGTTTGCATAGCATCTACGCAAACTCATATAAGTAGGTGAAAGACCTCCTGTGATCTATCACAAAGAGAGGAGGATCTCCTGCTGTACAAGTGCTCTTCTGTATGATTTTAATGGTGGCAGATAGGTTAAGACTAAACAGAAGAAAAGTTGCTGCTCAAAATTACTCCAATAAATGTCTAAGCTCAAAAATAATTGCAAAGAGGAATGATAAGTATTATTGAATTTGTGGGTTTAATTCTTTTGCAGTTGATTACCTGGAGATTTACAGAATGGCTCTCTCAACTCTCCCATTTCAAATGAGAACTGAAACTACCTCTCCCTCTCCAAAAAATACTTAATTATTGACAAAACACTTAATCTAAATCTTTCTAATTAACCAACTAATTCGAGATTTCTACTCCTCCTTACTACCAAGTAATAAAAGATGAACATTTCAAGGGGCAGAGTAGATTCATTTATTTTCTTTCTTAACACCTTCCTCGATCTCATTTCTAAGGCTGAAGAATGACAGCCTAACCAAAGACTTCTGCTTAGTGTTTTATTCTCTACTCATTACTCATAGTTTTTAAGGTGATTAAAGATTATGCGCACCAATACATGAATAAAGCCCACAGTGCTTTCATTATATCACCTGTTTTAGCAAGCTGATTCCTAGCCAAATTAGATTCTGGTCAGTTTTGTCACCAGTTACTTTAAACTCAGGAAATTAGTATTTTCTTTATGAAAAGATGAAGCAGTTATAGAAAGAGCTGTAATATCATAAACATGGTACACCCAGCGATATTAAACCATAAATCTATGCTGGCAAGTGTCCAACCTGGAGACAACTTCATTGTTTCATTTATACTTAACCAGAAGTTAAAAAAAAGGTGAACAAATACATTCACAAGCATGTACTCAGGTACAACTGAAGCCCAATATTAATTGAAATATATATTTTCTATGCACTAACACATATGCTACAAAGGTTA